AGTGAAGCCAGCCACCTGGTCAGACCCTGCTGTCCAGCCCGCCCTAGCAAGGCTCCAGTGACAGTGTCCCCTGCCTGTCCACGGTAGGAGGGGAGGTGCCCCAGCATGGGGGCATGGGGTATGGGGCATAGCAGGGTGCTGAGGAGCTATGTGGACAGCCCCTTGAAACCTCTGAACTGGGGAGCTGGGGGAAAGGTGATTCCTGCTGAGGCCAAAGGGAAGGGCAGGCACTGGGCAGGAGCCAGAGCTGTGGGCACAGCCACCAGGGCCCAAACCACCGTCCTGGCAGCAGCCATGCCTGTCTGGGGTGGGGGAGGGGAACCCCAGAGAGAGGCCCTGGGCAGGAGGAAAGGAAGCGGTCAGGGAGCTAGGGGAGGCCAAGCAGGGAGGGCCTCTACCTCCTGATATGGGGGTGGTTCCAGTCCTCAGTCTCTCCCCCGGCCAGGGCCTCGCAATGGAGGAGCCAGGTGAGGTGCAGCCAGGTGTTCTTCCATCCCAGGGAGAAGGAAGGAGAAGCCCCAGGACAAGCAGGCCTGCAGGAAACCTGGCGCCACGCCTGCTGCCTGAACCTGGCAGGCAGCTGTCCCTCTCGGGCCTCAGCTGCCACAGGTTGAAAATACCAGGCTGGGGCTGAGGATTTAGCTCAGCAGCATAAGCGCCTGCCTTGCAAGCAGGCGGTCGTGAGTTTGATCCCGGTACTGATAAAAAGGAAAAAGACAAAAAAAAAAAAAAGAAAAGAAAAGAAAAGAAAAGAAAATACCAGGCTGGGAGCTGGGGATTTAGCTCAGCGGCATAAGCGCCTGCCTTGCAAGCAGGCAGTTGTGAGTTCGATCCCCGGTACTGATAAAAAGGAAAAAGACAAAAAAAAAAAAAAAAAAAGAAAGAAAAAGAAAAGAAAATACCAGGCTGGGAGCTGGGGATTTAGCTCAGCGGCATAAGCTCCTGCCTTGCAAGCAGGCGGTCGTGAGTTCAATCCCCGGTACTGATAAAAAGGAAAAAGACAAAAAAAAAAAAAAAAAAAAAAAAGAAAGAAAGAAAGAAAGAAAGAAAATACCAGGCAGGAAACAGGTCTGAGTTCTGAGATGCCCGGCTGGGCAGGGATCTGAGGGCTCTGGGTGTCTCTGCCTTTCTTCCCTTTAACACATGCAAGGTCCTCCTCTGACACTAAACCACTGGTTCACAGCCCTGAGCTCTGATTGCTGGGCAGCCCAGCCTGGTCTTGGGGCTATCCCTGTAGTCCTGTGGACAAGATGGGCTGGAAACCGAGGCATTTTAGCATAGGAAGCAGGTGTGAGGGGATCGGTGAGTTCAGAACAGGGCTTAGAAGAGAGGAGCAAACCCAGACTGCAGCGCAGTGAAGGTTTTCTGGAGGAGGCTCATGGGAGCCTGAGAGAGCTGGAGCTACAGCTGCCACAGAGGGAATTTGAGGCACAAAGCATGGAAGTTTGACCCTTAAATGTGGGCTGGTGGTGAGGCTGCCATGGCAGCAGCTGGCTGGGGAGTGGGAGTCACAAGAGACCGTCTGCCAAGGGTGACGGGTCAGAGGGAGACAGGGAGGATTTCCCACACACAGCACAAGCCAAACTCTCCAGTAGCTGGGCTCTGATACAGCCAGGACAGGGGACACCCTGTCCCTCCTCAGGCCCAGTAGCCCTGTTGCCTAGGCCTCTTTCTGGCCCCAAAAGCCCTCAGAGACAGCCAAAGCCTCCTGTTTGGGTACAGGAAGGACAGGAAGGAGAGAATGTAGATTAATCCGCCTGGGTGTTCATTACAGACCACCCCACACCCTACAGAAGATCCCTAAATTATTGTTTTGTTTCGTCTTCTAGAGACAGGGTTTGCTATATAGGCCATCCTCCTGCCTCAGCTTCCTGAGGAGTGCTGAGATTACAGGTGTGCCACCACACCTGGCAAGATTCCTAAGTGATTAAGCTTGGCTTTCCTTTCTAGCCAGTTGGCAGATCCTGCTGGGAGCACTGACTCTGGGTACAGTGACTTCCCCTAGGCCTTGGCCTCCCTGCAAGTTCTGGGAAATTTGGGAAGCTCTAGGGATTCCCAGCCCTGCCTGGCCCCCAGGTGACAGGCAACCTGAGCTGCTTGAGGCGCTCACAGCGCTGGCTGTGTGCCATAGCACAGCCTGTATCCTAGGTTCCTCATTTCTTGGCTTTGCGACTAGTCACCCCTTTAGCTCTGCATAAACACTGCGAAGCTAGAGGCTAGAGGCGGCAGAGCCTGGGACCTGCCACAGTCATGCCTGCTTGGGTCGAAGCAGACTGAGCCTAAGGGTGTGCCCTCTTCTCAGCGGAGTGAAGCAGCTGAAAGCACGAAAGAGTTATTTTGGTTCCTGAGGTTTCAATCCTCACTTGACCAGCTGCATTGTTCTCAGGCCTATAGGAGGCAGACACATCTGGGTGGCAGGTGTGGCCCAATTCAGTTTCTTACCTCCCAGCAGCCACACAACATCAACATCCCCCAGGGTCACAACTCTGTAATCCACTTCCTCCAACCAGACCCTGCCCTTCTGACCATCATTTCCAATAACACTGTCAGATCATGATATCATAGGTGGATTAATTCACTAATTACAACCCTCAGGATCCAGTCATTTCTCTGGGCCTCAACTCTGAACATAGCTGCGGGGGAGCAAGCCCTTACTATTCAAGTCCCTGGGGGACACTACACTTTGTGTGTGTGTGGGGGGGGGGTGTTGGGGATCAAACTTTACCACTGAGCCACATCCCCACACCTGACCCTTTATATTTAAACCTTAACAAGGGGTCTGGTATGCTGCTCGGAGGATCATATCTCAGTTTGCTTCCTTTTAAAACTCCCACCCCATCTAGTTGTAGGAATTAACTGAGATAATAGCTATTAAGAGGCTGGCACAGAGTCCGGCTTCTGTAGGAGCTCCTAGCCTGACCACTCCCCACGCAGAACTGAGATGCTCTTCTAGTGGTGGCGGAGGAAAGGGGTTGGGGTAGAGAGTGCGGCAGGAGCAGTCCTGGGGCCTCCCTGAAGGAGGCAGTTCAGGGTGGAGGCGTGCCTTGCTGCGGGTCCCAGGGCAAAGACCGAATGTCTCTTCTTCTGTCATAGGGTGGCCAGCAGCACCCCTCCCTTCTCTGGGTGAGAGGGAGCACCCCCGAGGAAAGGAAGTTTTGTAAAGAGCAGGTGTGCCCAATTAGTGGGCAGGACATTAGTACTCATTGTGGGCCAAGGTCCATGGGGCTGAGGGTTCACCCCTTGCCGTGCCAGGGAGCCATCACAGGGTATTCATCACAGGGTGGAGGAGGAGGTCCCCCTTGGAGAACTGTGAGGAGCAGGGGTAAGGGAGAGATTTTCTGCCCACTTTGCTAACCCCACCTGGAAGCTCACCGAGGGCAGATCCTTCCTCTGCCTTAGGACACCAGGACCACAGCACTCCAAACTCTTGGGGGGCTCCCAAGGCCGAAGCTGAGAAGGACAACTTTTACTTTAGAGTGTTCCCCAAGATGCTTGGAGCAGAGGACAGGGGTCAGGCAAAGCCTTGTGGGGGAGTGCTGTCACCTGGCCCCCTGAAGAGCTCCCCCAGTTTCCAAGCAAGTCCTGCACCTCATGCATGATGTCCCACACTCAGGGCCCCTGACTTGAGAAGTCCAGGAGAAAGGAATGATAAGCCCAAAGGCACGGTTCGTGGCTCCCAAATAAAGACCCAGAGGGGCAGTGGAACCCAAGATGGATCGTCTTGGCCAGGCAGGGAACCCCTTAGCTTGGAGAGATTAGAGAGGCCACCAGGTGGCCCTGTACACACAACCTGAGCGTCTTGGACCCCAAGATTGAAGACACTACCCTCCTCTCTCTCCATCTGACTCTGTCTGGGCAGGGCTGGACACACTGAGCATGAGGCTCTGGCTGGAACTAAGGCTGCACCAGGTCGTGTCCTCAAGCTGTCCATGCACTGTTGCACTTGCCTTGTGCCAAACTGTGGTTTCAGGAAGACCCCCCCCCCTTGGGCTGGGCGCCAAGAAAGCTGGGATTCCATAGCAGCCTACAAGTGACCTAGGGAGATGGAGCCCCAACCCCCCAAGTGTCTTCTCAGATCTTTCCAGACTCTTTCTAAGGTCCTTCCAGCTGCACACCAGGTGACATCCTCCTCTCTCCCAGGTGACCTCACTTCCCCTTCCCGGTCCCACCTGAGCCCAGCCCCTGCTCCCACTCCAGCTGCTGTCTGGGACACCTGTGCCCAGGCTGCTCGGCTCTGACTCAGGCAGTCTGACCTTTGTTTCTGAGGTGGCCCGGCTGCTCCTGCTCCCTGAACTTGTCGAGACCTTTGCCACATCCACCTGCCCTCTTTTCCTCACCTTAGGCATCTGTCCCCAGTCCTTGGGCAGCCTCAGGACTACGTGGACCAGAGAAAAGAGCACTGGGGGAGGGGATGCTCATCCACAAAGAGGGGACTGGAGTCTGCCAGGCAGGCAGCCTGACCCCTGCACCCCTCTTTTCAAGCACCACTTTTGGCTGGGGACGATGCACCTATCCAGCCTCCCGGGGTGCAGGGGCGGAGTTGTGTTCTCTTCGCAGGAAAGGTCCAGCAACTCCTCCCCGACACCCTCTTTCCTGCCCCGATCCTTGGCTGGGGTGAGCACCCCTTCCTCAGACGGCGAGAGAGCCCTAAAGATAGCCGACGCATACCTGCGTTTGCAGTGCGCCCTGCCTGCACCTCTCCAGCCTCTGATACAACTAGTCCTGGCCAAGGCAGTCAGGAACCTACTTGATGCCAGGCGTTTAAGGCCACCTCTGGCAAGGATGGCGACACCACCACAGAGGAACCCAGAGTCACAAAGTGACAACCGACGCGCAAGCTAGCGGGAGGGCCGGGCGAGGGCGCGTGGGCGCCCGTGCTGGCGGATGCTCGGAGCGAGGCCCAGGAGCCCCTAGCAGCTCCGGCACCCTGGGGAGCACGGCTCCCAGAGGCGGCTCGGCCCCGCCTCCTCCCCGCCTCCTCCCCGCCCCCGGCCCGCCCCGCCCGGGACCGCAGACGGCACCCGGCGGCGGCGCAAGCGGCTGCACCCTGGCTGGCTCCGAGCCGTGGTAGCTTCGACTTCCAGCGCAGACGCGGCTGGACTGGGACGGGAGGCGCGGGAGGCGCCGGAGGATGCGGCCGTGGCCCGGGGGGGCGGCAACGCGAGGCCCGGCGTCCTGCAGGTACGGCCTGAGCGCGCGGGCGGGCGCGGAAACTTGGGCCGAGTTCGCCTTGGCGCGTGGGGCGGGGGCGGGCGCAGCCCCAGGGCGCCCCCACCGGCCGCTCCCGGACAAGCGGGGCCGGGGCCGCGGCTTCCGGAGGGCGGGTCGCGATCTGGGGCTCTGGCGCGAGGAGGAGCCGTGCGGAGCCTCAGCCCCCGGGCGGCTCACGTGGGTCCCGGGCGGGGACGGCGTGGGGGAGGGGCAGGACGGGGCGGCCCCGCGGGCTCCGCGCCGCGCGTGACTCACGCTCTGGCTCTGGCCCAGCCGGCAGGGTCGCTCGAGGCGGCGGCTCTGGACTCCGCGCCTGCTCTGGGGGCCTCAGCCGTCTGCGGGCACAGGGCGCGGGCGCAGTCTGGGGCCATGCGTGCACGTACAGGCTGGAGGTGCACGCGTGGTGGCACTTGTGTGTCAGCTTGCTGGGGTGCACTTGAGCTCAGCGTTAGCGAGAGGGCTTGAAGACACCCAGAAACCCGCGCGGTCTGGCGTGGCGGGCAGAGGGGCAAGGGTGCAAGTTGATCCCACACCCACTTTCCCCCTGGAGCCTTGGGAGCCTGGCCAGGGAAATGAGGCCCAGCCGTCTCCAGGAGCGCCCAGATGCCGGGAGGTAGAAGCTGGGCATGGGTCACCAATCGTCCTTATGGGATACTGCCAATGGAACCGTTGTCTGAGTCTTGATGTCCCGGCCTGCCCTTGCCCTTGGTCCTGGGGACTCAGCTCTGGGCCTGGCTGAGGCTGCAGGTCAGCTAAGACCCATGAGGGTGACAGGTCTTGGTTCTCGAGACACCCTCTTGCCATCTCCTTTGTGGTGGGTAAGGAGCACCTACATTTTGGATGCCCTCTGAATTGGAAGGGGCCCCACTGGCAGGAAATAAGGACACCTCCACTCTCTGAGGCCTCTGCTCCCTGGAGAAGCAAGGCTCTTAAGAGAGTCCCAGGTGGCCTGTTTCTGGTGGCTGAATCCCAGGGGGTCTCCTAAAGCCTCCAGGGCAAAGGGCATAGGTTGGGCCAGGCCTGGGAAAGGAGGACTCCTGGGACTGGGGGTGGGTGTGGAGCAAACCTGAGGAAGAGGGGTGGTGTTTGAGACCAGAGCCTTGCTTAACTAAGTTCCCCAAAGGCGCAGCACGATAAAACCACACCATCCCAGGGTACCTGTCTTCATGTAGCACTGCTCCTGGAGCTGTGGCCTGGGTCCTGCTCCCCCTCCTACCTTCCCCAGGTGCCCCTGAGGGTTGCATGCTGGCCAGATGGACCAGATTTCTTTCTGAGAGGCCTGCCTGGCTCCCTCTCCCAATCCTGCTGAGCTGAGAGTGGGCATCAGCCCCCTGATACCCTGGCATTGGCCCCTCACTGGTCTTAACTCTGATCTCTGGCTGCCACTTGGCCAGTGGCCAGCAGGAACGAGAGAGCTGATCCTTGCTTGCTGGTGACAGAAACCTGTGACACTTGGCCTCTGGCCTTATAGCAAGATTGAGCTGATTCATTCTTTTGAAGCCACAGAGAGTCTTGGGGGATGGGGTAGAGGCTGGAGAATAAATGTGGCTGCAGTGGGCCCCTTCATGGCCATAGAGTACCTGTCCTGTTGAAGAAGCCGCCCCTTGACCTCTTTGGGTCACTGTTGACTTCTCTTGGTGGTGGCCACTATCCACCTGGGGTCTTGCCTGGGGCCTGAGACTTTGTCCAGCACTGAGTTCAGGAAAGTGCTGTGTGGGATTTTGGGCAGTGAGCACTTGGCTCATGGAACCTCCTTCTTGGACTCACTCACACACAGACACACACACACACACACACTCTCCCCACACACCCCCCCCTTCCCCTTCCTCTCTCACTCTTTGGAGTATGAGGCCTAGCCTGGACACAGCCTTTTCTGTGGCTCTGGATCCTTCCTGCTGGCACCACAGCCCCATCTGCTGGATGGCCTGGGCATTGCTGCTGGGGTTGCACCCAGGGGCCACCTCTCCCAGGGGAATTGATTACCCTACAGGGCCAAGCTCAGAGTGAGCATTGGCACTAGGCCCAGAGACCTGGATTTGAGGCCTAGCTTTACCATGGACTTGTAGATGATACTTGGGTTCTGTGGCTTGGATGCGGCAGGTACCGTTTTTGTTTTTTAAAGATAAGGTCATGCTCTTGTAGCCCAGGCTGCCTTAAATTTGTGGTGATCCTCCTGCCTCAGCTTCTTGAGTACTGAAATTATAGGCATGAAATACCACACCTGCCATCAACAAAAGGTTTTACAGTTTAAAAATAGAATCAGAGCCAGGCTTGTCTGTGCACACCTGTGATCCCAGCATTCAGGAGACTGAGTTGAGAGGATCACTGTGAGTTTAAGGCCAGCCTGAGCTACATAGTGTGTAGGAGACCCTGTCTCAAACCCCGTCTCAAAAAATAGAGCCAGAAATGCCCCACATTTACGCTTCTGTGTACAGTGTGACCTGAGCCTGGTCAGCAGCCTCTGCCTCACTGGCTCCTGCTCTTCCCTAGGTCCACAGTGGAGCAGCCAGGGCCCGGGAGGGCTTGACACCTTCCGGTGATGGCAGAGAAGCGGCCCCTGGGCAGCCTGGGGCCCATGATGTATGGCAAGTTACCTCGCCTGGAAGCCGACTCAGGGAACGGACATGGCTTGCCCTCCTCTGCTGGCAGCTACAAGGGGGCCTACTTCTCCTGCCCTATGGGGGCCACCTCCAAGGCAGGGCCAGAGCGGCTGGCCTCGTGGAGCCCATATCCACCCCTGTGCCCTACCAGCATGGCAGGACACCCACTTCGGGGAGACAGCCTGCTGACCAACTGCCTGCTCTACCAGTCACCGGCAGAAGGCTCCGAGAAGATGCAGGACTCAGGCCCTGGGGAGCTCCTGCCTTTCGGCCCCCAGGCTCATGCATACCCTGGCCCACCACTGGCAGCACCCAAACCTATCTACCGCAGCCCCCTGTGCTACGGGCTGCCCACTTGCCTAGGCGAGGGACCAGCAAAGAAGCCTTTGGATGTTGACTGGACCTTGGTGCCTGGGCCCTTGTTGCCTTCAGCTGAGCCTCCCTGCTCTCTGGCCCCTCTTCCTGTCAAGGGTCAGTCCCTAGATGATACCTTCTTGCGCGGGATGCCAGCAGGAGGACCTGCAAAAGATGTTTCACTAAGCTTTTCCCCATGTCAGGCGTTCTTAGACAAATACCGGGCAGTCCACAGTGCAGGTTTCCTGGCCCCCAAGTACACAGCTCCTTACTCTGGGGACCCCAAGCAGGCAGTGTCAGAAGGACCCTCTAGTCCCTGGGCCCAGATGGCTCAGCCCCTGGGGTCACCCTTCCAGGAGACAGTGCCCACCCACTACCCACTGCCGCCCCCTCCGCAGGCGCTGCCCTGCCCTTCCGCCTGTCACCACCCAGAGAAGCAGGGCAACTACAGCTCTGTACTCCCACTGCAGCCCCTGGGAGCCCACAAGGGGACCAAGTACCAGGCTGGTGGGCTGGGCAGTTCCTACCTGAAGCAGCAGGCAGCACAGACCCCCTATATGCCTCCGTCGGGGCTGGATACCTATTCATATCCTTCTGCCCCTCTCCCGGTCCCCTCACCAGGCCTCAAGCTAGAGCCCCCTCTTGCCCCAAGGTGTCCTCTGGACTATGCTCCCCAGAACCTGGGTTTTCCATATGCCCGGGATGACCTCTCTCTCTATGGGGCATCCCCCGGCCTGGGAGGTGCCCCACCTCCCCCAAACAGCGTGCAGCCTGTACCACAGCCTGGAGCCTTCCAGCGGGTGTGCCAGCCTCTGCCAGCTAGGCGCCCATCCTCCGAGCCCCTGAGGCCTGCAGAGAATCCAGCACAAGAAGCCGAGGAGAAAATGTGGCTGCCCAGCTGCAGGAAGGAGCAGCCTCAGCCCCAGCGTGATGAGCACCCTGGGGGGCCCATCATTATCAGGGACAGCCCTGATCCCCGCACCTCACCAGCAGTGCACTCATGCCCCCAGGAGCACCAGTCTCTCCCGCAGAAAGAGGGTGCCCTGCCACCCAACTCCCCGCCCATGCCCGTCATCGACAACGTCTTCAGCCTAGCCCCTTACCGTGACTACTTGGATGCACAGACCCCTGAGGCCACAGCTGAGCCGACCAAGGCCACTGCTGAGCCGGCCAAGGCCACAGCCACCACTGAGAGCCAGGACAAGGGCTGTAGGGGACCACTGCCTACCCCAGAGGGGTCTGTAAGCCTGAGCTGCTCTCTGCACGAGGAGGTGGCCCTGGACTTGAGTGTGAAGAAGTCTCTGGCAGAGGCTTCCCCCGTCAAGTCTCCAGGTCCTGTGTTGCATACCAACCCCACTGCAGCTGTGGATGCGTCAGCCGAGGAGACCACAGTGTCAGGTTTGCCAGCCCTGAAAAGGATGGTCACAGAAGTATCCGGGATACCAGTGACCACAGAGGCTGTGCCAAGGACCAGCTTCCATAGCTCTGTGGCTTTCATGTTCCGGAAATTCAAGATCCTCCGTCCAACACCCTTACCTACATCTGTGGACCCGTCTACCCCTAGCGCAACTTCAGTCCCCCCACAGCCCACCGTGCCCACACCACCACCTGTACCTGTGGGACTGCAGCTTCTCACCCATCCCTTGCCAGTGGCCTGCTTCAGCCTGGCCCTGCCCAGTCCTCCAGCCATTGCTGTGGCCTCCCCTACCCCTGTCTCTGCCCCAACTCCAGCTCCAGTCCCAGTCCCAGCCCCAGCCCTTGCCCTTGCCCCTGCCCCGGCTCCAGCACCTATCCCTGCCTTAACCCCAGCCCCAGCTCCAGCCCCTGCTCCTGCTCCTGCTCCTGTCTCTGCCATAACCCCAGCCTCTGCCTCTGCCCCTGCTCCTGCCCCTGCCCCGGTTTCTACAGCAGACTGTACTGAGCAGCACTTTACAGGGCTCCACACATCCCTGTGTGATGCCATCTCAGGCTCCGTGGCTCACTCCCCGCCTGAGAAGCTGCACGAGTGGCTGGAGATGGCTGGGCCATGGGGCCGGGCTGCATGGCAGGATTGCCAGGTTGTACAGGGGCTGCTGGGCAGGCTGCTGTCCCAGCTGCAGAAGTTCGTGTGCACGCAACAGTGCCCCTTCCCCCATGTGGTGCGGGCCGGTGCCATCTTCGTGCCCATCCACTTGGTGAAGGAGCGGCTCTTCCCACAGCTGCCACCTTCCTCAGTAGACCAGGTGCTGCAGGAGCACCGTGTGGAGCTGCGGCCCACCACGCTGTCAGAGGAACGTGCCCTGCGGGAGCACGCTCTGCGCGGCTGCGCTTCCCGCATGCTGAAGCTGCTGGCCCTGCGCCAGCTGCCCGACCTCTACCCTGACCTGCTGGGCCTGCAGTGGCGTGACTACATCCGCCGCCAGCTGGGTGAGCATGGGCAGCCCCAGTAGCCACCAGAGCTGTGTGACAAGTGTCAGGTGTGTGCCCAGTGTGAGTGGGGCCCGGCGGGTGGCTCATTCCAGAAACTCATGCCAGGGTGGGCTCTGGGAACCCGTTTCCCTCTAGTTGCTCCAGAATGAGTGAGAGTAATAACACCTTCCTGGCCCCTGGTGCAGCCCTATCCTGGATGCCCCTCCCCTCCACCATTGGTGCAGGCTTTTCCTTTGGCATCCCAGAGCTCAGCTGTGGCTCATCTTCTATGTGATGTTCTTTCCCCCATCTTTGTATATCCCAGCCTCCCCTCTCCTGAGCCAGAGCTCCACATAGGCCACTTCTTGCTGGACTCTGGTTTCTGGGGTCACCCAGCACACATGGTTGCCTTTTGAACTCTTTTTTCACCCCTAGTCTTCTGCATCCGGTGAGGGGTAACCATCCCCCAGTACTTGCAGGCACAGAATATCCCACAGAAGTCTGAGCACTGTGTGTGGTTTGCTTTCCTTTCACTAAGTGACATGTGGCACCTGTTAGCTGGATATGTGTTGCATTTGTTTTGTTTTGGTTTTTTTTTTTTTTTTTTTTTTTTTTTTTTTTTTTTTTGGTCTTTTTTGTTTTTATCGGTACCAGGGATCGAACTCACGACTGCCTGCTTGCAAGGCAGGCGCTTATGCCGCTGAGCTAAATCCCTAGCCCCTTGTTTTGTTTTTTTTGAAACAGGGTCCTGCTGGGTAGTGCAGGCCAGCATTGAACTCACTTGTATAGCTCAGCCTGTCCACGAGATCCTTCTGCTTCAGCCTCACAAGGGCTGGGTTTACAAGCATGAGTTACCATGCCCAGCACTTTAGCTGGCTTTCATTATGCCCACATGGTCACATGATGTCTGTGGTGATGTATAGTGTGGATACTCAGCCTCCCTCAGGCTGACCTTGGGCGAGGGTTGCATTAGTATACCCATTCCCAGGGCTTCCCCAGCCCCATGTCCAGCTGTTCTCCCCTTGGTGATAGCCTTACCTTGGGCCCTCTGCCTAGTCAGAGTGGGCAGAGTCTGGCTGACCATCATTCCTGACCTGGACTCTTCCTTCAGGCAGGAGTCTCAGTGAGGTGGTTGCCTGCCACTGTCTTAGTCTTGTATCCTGTTCAATCCCTAGAGAACACTTCCCACTGCCCTTTCTTCTGGGGTCCCTGCTCCCTGTGGCAGGCTCCCTGGAGCGTCCCTGGTCTTGTCCCTCATCTGGCATCCCTTTCAGGGCAGCTCTGGCTGGCTCTTGTTGGGCCCAGGGGCTGGTATGGCAGAAGAATAATAGTTCTCCCATCTGACAGGGCCCATGTGCCTCAGTTTCACTACCTGCCCCGTAGGCTTTGGGTCAGTCAGTGATTCCTAACCTGGGTACCTTTCTACTTATTCTTGGTCCCAAATGGCCTCTCCTGCCTGGGTCCTCGTCTGATGTGTTCTGGTGTTCCTTGGGAGGAGCAGGGCCATGTGGCTCTCTGTCATTTGACTAGGGGCTCTGGAGGCTGAGAAGTAGTGTGTGGGGTCTACAGCCTGACTTAATTTTACAGGTGACCTTGGTACCAAGGCTGGAACTGTGTCCTTGTCAGAGCCTGCTGTGCCCAGAGATGAGCCAGAGGGTCCAGTGCTGGCTCAGAAGTCACCAGTCCCCAAGGTCAGGAGACCTGCAAGGAAGCCACCGGGAAGTCCTGGCCCAGAGAAGACAGAGGCACCTACTGAAGAAGCATCACGGGGTCCCTCTCCTGCTGCTGCTACTAACACCAGCCCTCCGGGCCCTACCCTCAGGGCCCGCTTCCGCACCCTGCTGGAAACCGCCTGGCTCAATGGCCTGGCACTGCCCACGTGGGGCCACAAGGCTTCAGGCCCTGATCAGCCCCCACCCTGCCCACAGCTGCTGGGTAGCCAGAGCCAAACCCTGTAGCACTGGTTGCAAGTGCTGTTGGGACAACCACCTGGCCTATGTACCCACCTGTCCCGTGAGTGTCCTCAGCCCTCACTGGGCTACCAGCTGGGCCGTGAGCCCCAAGCTCCCGAGCCTGAAGGTCTTTCCTGGAAAGGACTTGCTCCTCTCCCCTGGCTGCTGCCTCCCTCACTGGTGACTTGGGCCAAAACCCCACCTCTCTCCAGTCCTCATTTCTTGTTTGTAAAATAGGACATTGCAGCCTACCTCGCAGGGTTGTGGGGTGATACGACACCCATGTGATGGGAGCTCTGTCTGGCCTGGAACAGGCCCTCCTTGACCTCTGCCAGGGCCTGGAGTAGGAGGCAAAGGCGGCAGCACCTCTCTGTGTCAAGTGGCACCTTATACAGATGGCTGATGCTTTTCTATAGTGCTACAGGAGTGACACAGCCCAGCCTGGTGCCACTGTCTCTGGGCCCTGCCACCCCTGCTCTGGGAAGGCCCTAGGCCAACTTCCAGTTAATGCTGACTTCCTGAGCTTCGTCTCCTACCCCAGGCCTTGTCCCAGGAATGTTGTGTTTTCATAGTCTGCCAGGCAGCTGCAGGTAACAATGGACCAGAGCTGAGTGGCATTTGAGTCTCTGGAGGTCTGACTGAAGGCCCTGGTTCTCCTCCAGTTATAATGCTGTCAGCCAGGTCTGCTGTGGCATTGCCCTCAGGGTACTGGCCTGAGCTGCAGGCTGGCAGCAGGGCCCTTGGCCTTAAGGGTGTAAGATGCACTCGGGATTGGTTTATTAAAGCGTTTGAGTGGTTTTGGAGCTGGGACCTGTGTGTTTGAGGGGCTGTGGGTCCTCAAGCCTTTACTGTTCACTGTGTCAATCCAGTGACAGTGGTCACCACCCTCACGCCAGACTTCAGGACTAAAGATGTGTCTGCCAGTCTGGAACTGTTCCCTCCCATAGCCCAGCAGCAGCAGTGGCTGCCAGTGGCATGCTCTCTGGGCTCTTCACACCTGTTTGGGTTCATGGTAATAGGGCTGGGACTTGGAATGGCAGTTGCCTGGAGACTGAGTGGCTCCAGAGTCCTCTTCTGACCACATTGCTTCCTCCTGGATCACCTCTGTTTCATTTATGCCCACTGATGATGGCATAAACTAATGCCGAGAACTAAAAGCAGTTTCTACACCATCTCTGTGCTCCCTAGCTTTTCTGTTCCCCAGAGGACCAAGGTGAGTGCCTTCAACCAGCACTCCCTCTTCCTGCCACCTCTGGGCTGTGACCCTGGACCTCCCAGGTATGCAGGTATCCTGATAACCCTGTCAAGGCACAGGAGCTGCTTGTCCCTCATGCCTGGGAAGATGGCACGAGAGATGTGGACACAAAGAGGTTGGGCCGTTTCTCCCCAGCTGCCTAACCTTAGGTGAGCCAGCACCTTCTTCCAGGCCTCCCTACCCCAGCCCGGCTCCCTGACTTCCCATAGAGTGTGAGAGAGCAGGGAAAGGTGGTGTCATTTCCAACTTTATGCATCAGGGGGCAGGGTAGGGACCTTCCCAGCAAGGTGACAGCATGTCGCTGCCCTGGATGAGTCCATGTTAGGGTGTCCCAGGAAGCTGTGTGACTCTGAGCCTTGGCCTCTTCGGTTCCTGGGTTTATGCCCAGGGCTGCACAAAGCTACTGGCAGGGGAACAGGTTTGGGGAGGAGCCTGTGGGTGGGGCCAAGGGCAGAATCAAGGTTGTGGGCAAGGTCTAGGCTGTGGATGGAACCCCTGCCTCCCGGTCCTAGAGAAGTTGAGGTGGGCTCTGCTGAGCCCACTGGGTCGCTGGGTGGTGATGGGGTGGCTCTGGAGTAGCTTCACTGCGAGACTCCGTTCCTCCAAGGTGGGGTGGGAATGACGTGCGGTTTCCTGCTGGGCATAGTAGTGCAGGCTGGAAGGTCGCACCAGTTTGAGGCCAGCCTGGGCTACATTGTGAGTTCAAGGCCAGTCTGATACATAAACCCAGCCTCCCCTACCCCCAAAAAAGCCCTTTCATGAAGAATGCTGTAGGCCCTGAAGGGCACAGGCAGTAGTGAGCAGAGCCAGCCTCCTTAGAGTGAGCTGTTTTGGACAGCACAGGCAGGGCCACCCAGCTAGGCTACAGTGGCTGTGAGCCCAGAGATGCTTGTCTGGGCAATACTCAGAAAAATACCCTTTGCTCCATCCCAAGAAGCAGGGCTCTGAGAGTGGGAGGTAACAGACCTGAGGACTCCTAAAAGCCTTTAAAAGAAGGACCCCATTGGCCATGATCTTTGGAGGTGACATGCTTGGCAGGGGGCTGAGGAAGAACAGCTGGCCCAGGACTCAGAATAACTTGTCTTTCCTTGACCATCCCAGGTGCAGGGACATAAGGCTTCCATTGAGGCCCTGAGTCAAGTCACAGAAACTTCAGTTCATTAAATGGGAAAACTTCCTATAACCAGCTGGAGCTTAAATAGTGAGATCTCTGTCACTGGGAGCATTCAATTCTGCACTGGGAAGAAGTTACCTAGAAGGTTCTTGGTTTGCCCAGAGCTTACTGTCGCATGGGGTTGCGATGACCTGGACCTTCTTGAACTTTCACAAAATCAGCTGCTGTTTTCCCAGGAGCCTCAGAACCAGAAAGAGCTTGGCTCCAGGGAGCTCATTTCTATTGACAAGTCGTTTCTGGCCCCATCCCACTACCTCTTGTCCCCTGTTCCAGTGTGCAGTGAAATCAGCTTCAGGCCACTGAGGTCTCAGACAGGTGAGGTTAGCAGCCAGGGTCAGTGCCCTTTGTCATGCCCACTCACCTGAACACCAGGATGCAGACACCTTGGAGGCAGGGAAGACCTCGAGATACAGGAACAGGAGCTGAGGACTGGAGGCTTTAGGCTGCTTGCCTGCCCACCTTGGACCACCTTGTCACCTAGGGTCCTGGCACCTGCTGTTCCCTTTCTGCTCCCTTTCCTTCACCCCAGGGCACTTGCTCTTTCTCAAAAAGGTGTCCTCTGTAACACCTCGCACGTTGAGAATCTGCTCGACCTGCCAGCACCTTCCCCCCTTTAAAAACATTTTTGTTGTTTGTTTTTTGAGACAGGGTCTTCCTATGCAATTCAGGCTGGCCCCAAATTGACTATGTAGTGATCTTTCTGCCCTAGCCTCTGCAGTGCTGGGATCACAGGCATGTGTCACCACGTGGCTGTATATTTTTAAGAAGGAGTATTGATTATTTGTTCAGGGAAACTGGACTGGATCTTGCGATTTCCTGCCTTAGCCTCTCAAGTGTGCCTCCAGGCTTGTCCCTCCCTCTCTAGCTTGTCACGTGGCTGCAGTGGTGCACCATAATTCCTTCTGTTCTCTTCCCTGTGCAAACAGAAGCCCACCTGAGAGCAGAAGCACTGTTCTTCCATACCTTAGCGGGCATCCAGTGGTTCTAAGAACGGATTGCAGCCTCAGAAGGAAGGAACCAATGAATGATGGCCAGCGACTCAGCGCTTCCCCCAAGTGGATAAGAGTGGAATAGCACCCAAAGCGCCGCTGCCGCCCAGGCTCCAGCCAAGGCACAGCAGCAGTGCCTGGCGCTGTGGTGCTGGAGTCTGAATTCCTGGTGCAACCTTGGGCCACACAGCAAGATCTTCCTCCGGTTTCCAGGTGAACTCTCCACAGCAGGGACATTTCCTCCCTGTATCTTCCTGGTTTTCTGCTTCCAAGGCTCCCACTGCCCACCCCAGATGGGCCAACAGTTTAGTGACTGGACCTGGAGTACTCAGCAGGAAGGCCGGGAAAGGAGCCCACTCAGCAGCCACGTGCCCCAAGGGCTTCAGAGAGTGGTGGGAAAGTCCTCAATGGTGACCCTGAAGGACACAGCCCTACACAACCTGCCTGGCCAGGGTGGAGGAAAGCAGCAGCCAGGTGGGCCTAGCATCCCCAGGGGTCAGAGTTGGGGAGGCCTTAGGCTAGACATGGCCATCCCCTGATGCAAGCGGGCACTGGAGAGATCCAGATGTGGGCACAGGTGTGGAGGGGCGAGGGGTATGACAGCTGGCCTCTGGGCTGGTCTGGAGGTGACAGGTATCCTCGGGGTTGCAGAGGCAAGAGCATGCATTGTCACAGATGACACAGGCCCCTTGCTGGACCTTTGCTCTAACTGACAGGCAGGAGGCAGCCAGGTGGGTGGCACTGCAGTGATCTGCTGAAACCCAGAGTTCTCCTCCACAGGGCCAGACACAGAGGATGAGGGCTGGGACCAGGAGCTGCTGTGGGCTGCAGCCCTAGTGGATATGGCTGAGACCAGGCTAGGTGTGGCCCTGCCTCAGGGCCCAGCAGTCCCTGAGCAGGTAAGCAGGTGTGGCATGCTGTCCAGCAGGCTGTTTCCTGCCTGGTGCTTCGGGGCAGGAGCTGGAAGTCACTGGGACCCTTCCTGGCCTGGGCATTAGGGGACACTGTGCACACCCAAGGGTCCCGAGTAGGGTGGCATGAATTGGGATGTTTCACGTGTCCTGAATCAATTAAAAATGTTTTCCTCTCATGGTTACTTTGACTTTGGGGAAGAGCCAGAAGTCACATGGTACCAGATCTAGTGAATAAAATGGAGGAGGACACACTGTAATATTTTTATGATCCTGCCTTCCTTTTGGCTGGTACTGGTCAGCAGCATTTGCTGTATTTTTTATCACACTTAAGACAGGAAAGAGGACTTCCAGAAAGTGGCAAGCACTATGGGAAGTGTTCAAAGTGGGGGGTAATTTGTGTGTGATGGCAATGTGTCTTTTACTGGTTGTAAAAATTTAAAAAAAATAGTCAATGTATGTTTTGATCACACTTCGCACGTTCAGACTTTTGTACATAGCATTTCAATAAAGTTCGTATATATTTGTTTTTAATTTTTTTATTTCTTTGTAAGACAGTTTCAACTGATCTCGAACCTCTTGCCTCAGTTTGGCATTATAGGCGTGTGCCACCATGTTCAGCTTCCGTAGTTTTTTAACTATATCTTTTTTTTGGAATTGAATTTGCAGCCTCGCATTTAAACCCATCTGAGAAAAGAAACAACCGACAGCGGTGGTCTCCTCTGGCGCCCCGTCCCTCCACGGCCCCGCCCCACCAGAGAGCTGCAATCACGTGATCGCGGAGCGGTCAACTGATTGCACCGGAAGTTGACACCAGCGAGCTTCCGGCGCCATGGTGAGAACAGTCGCGGCTTAGAACGCGGGGCGGCGGGTTGGGGAGTACAGTGTCAGTGTGATTGGGAAGCCCAGTAGCCCAGCGACCCCCAGGGCGAGGCGTCCCGAGGTGCTTTCCAGCTTTCCGTAGGGTTCCCCGTGCCCGCCGCCGGAAGCCGCATGCTGGCAGCGGTTTTGCATGGGGCTCGGCACACCCCAAGTTAGTACACTGGCGTCAGGTTTAAAACCAGTGTGGTGCTCCACGCCTGTGATCCCAGCACTTGAGACGCTGAGGCAGGAGGATCAAGAGTTTGATGCCAGCCCGGGCAATTTGACACAGCAGCCAAAATGCTCAAAATGAAAAAGGGCCGGAGATGTAGTTCAGTCCTCCTACTTCAAAATAAAACAAAACACTCCGGGAGCGGAGGCTTAACTGGGATTAGGTTAGGGGCTTCCTGAGGGTACATCAATGAGGGAGCCGAGGACAGGACGGCTGGGTGAGGTACAGTCCCTGTACCCGGGCTTGGGGTAAGGGTAGGAAGTAGTGTGCAGACCCTGGGGGAGGGAGTGGAGGCTGGGGAAGGGCAGGCACTCAGCTGTGTCTCGCTGGGCCTGGGCTGGTGTGATGAAGATTTTGAGCACCCCACTGCCCCCCAGAAGGGGCTGCTTTAAAAAATGGGAGCCAGAAGGGCCCATCTGTTGAGGTATTGTTTAAGTAGAGGCCTGAGCTGGGTGAGAGGGACAATGATGATGTGGGCTGGAGGGTCCTGGCCACACCTCAGCCTCCTGCCTGCCTCACTCCTTGCAGAGGTTCCGGTTCTGCGGGGACCTGGACTGTCCTGACTGGGTCTTGGCGGAGATCAGCACGCTGGCCAAGATAGTTGAGTGCACTCGCGTCCATGTGGTTTGGGGGGATGGTGAGGTCACTCAGCTGTTCCCATGCCATGTGACCTGGTCATGTGGCTGCCCTCTCTGACCCTACCCCCGGCACTGAGGGCCAGGCAGCTTGGTCCAGGTGACAAAGGGACTTCCTTTCCAGTCCTCTGTGAAGCTGCGGCTGCTGTGTAGCCAGGTGCTGAAGGAGCTTCTGGGACAGGGGATTGATGTGAGTACAGAGCCTGTCACCCTGCTGTCCCACAGCCTTCCCAGACCACCCCATCCCTCCCTGCAGCCCAGCCTCCCACAATAACCAAGCTGGGAGCACTGGGCTGGTGGCTCATGCACTGTCAGTGCCTCGTTTCTCCGCAGTATGAGAAGATCCTGAAGCTTACAGCGGACGCCAAGTTTGGTGAGAAGCTGGCTGTGTCACACATCCCTGGGGACTGCGCCTTAGCCTGGGTCCTCTCCTCCCTACAGTCTCTCTGTATTCCCTGCCTTAGAGCAGGAGGGGATGAACCCCCAACAGGGTCATCGGGTCCTCCACCAGTTCTTAGGGCAGGAGTCACGGTGCCCGTGACTCAGAGAGGTGGCTGTAGCTGCAATGTCATGCCCTACCCTGGTCTCCAGAATCTGGTGATGTGAAGGCCACAGTGGCAGTGCTGAGCTTTATCCTGTCCAGTGCAGCCAAGCACAGTGTGGATGGCGATTCCCTGTCCAGTGAGCTGCAGCAGCTGGGGCTTCCCAAAGGTGGGCCAGGCAGAGCTGGCGGGACCGAGGGTGGGGGTGCTGGCGGGAGCAGGGCTGTGTGGCCCCAGTTGTGACCTGCCACCTAAGTGCACTGCTGCCCACAGAGCATGCAGCCAGCCTGTGCCGCTGTTATGAGGAGAAGCAAGGCGCCCTGCAGGAGACCCTGCGTGCCTGCAGCCTTCGCCGTGAGTAGGGGCTGGGCTGTGCATATGTGTGGGTGTGCGGGTGTGTGCTATCTGCCCTGGCTGTGGGTTTCTGATTGCAGCCTGGGTTTCTGTTCTCTGACACGTGTTCTGAGAACCTGGTCTGTGCCCAGTCTGAGCAGAGTTCACAGGACCTTGAGGGTTTCGGGGCAGGCCAGGCTAGACTGGGACCGGGATGGGCCTACCAAACTCATCCACCTGAATGTCCCCTGCACCCTGTGCCCTTGCAGTGAACAGGCTGGCGGGCGTGGGCTGGCGGGTAGACTATACCCTGTGCTCCAGCCTGCTGCGCTCTGTGGAGGAGCCCGTGGTACACCTGCAGCTGGAGGTGGCAGGGGCCCCTGGTGCCCGGGCCCAGCCTGTGGCCATGGTCCTGTCGGCTGACAAGTTCCAGGTCCTCCTGGCAGGTAAGGCCGCACTGCACCTGGGGGCGCAAAGCCTTCCTCATCTTGCTGACCGCTTCTCTCTGCCACTTTTCCCCACAGAGCTGAAACAGGCCCAGGCCCTAATGAGCACCTTGGGCTGAGGAGGAGGAGGAACCCAGCTGCCAGTCTGTGTCAAGCCACTGTCCCCCAACTTCAGGAGTGGCCTCATTTCTGCATGGGGGGCTTGGCCGAGGTCTTCTGCATCCACTGCTTTCCCAGTGGAGAGTTCAGCACGGGCTCCTGAGGGCCTTTCTGCATTATTTCCCTCTCCTCGAGGGCAGGAAGAATAAAGAAAGCATAAAGGAGAATATGGGGTTTCTGTTGTTTTTTTGGTACTGTGGATCGAACTCACTACCTTCCACTTGCCATACAGGCCCTTATACCATTGAGCTAAATCCCTGGCCTGGAGTCTCTGGTTCCTGATAAAGAGTTTTTTTTTTTTTTTTTTTTTTGTCTTCTTGAGACAGGGTCTTACTGTGTAGTTCAGGTTGGCCTTGAGTTCACTGTGTAATCCAGGCTGGTCTTGAACTTGCAGCCATCCTCCTGCCTCAGCCTCCCAAATGCTGGGATACAGGCATGCACCACCACACCCAGCTTGATCAAGAGTTTCTGTGAAATCAGCCAGGTGTGGTGGCTCAACGCCTGTAATCCCAGCACTCGAGAGGCTGAGGCAGGAGGATTGTTGGGAGTTCGAGACCAACCTGGGCTACAAAGTGAGTTCAAGGCTAGCCTGAACTGCAGAGCGAGACCCTGTCTCAAAAAGACAAAAAAAAAAAAAAAAAGTTTCTGTGAGAGAGACTAAGTGACTTTCTGAACTCCCTGCCTGTCACTCTCAGCTGTTGAAGGAGGGCAGCGTGCACAGCCCACCTGCAGTAGAAAGCCAGGTAACAATGGTAAATACCGATTTCCTAAATTTTGGTAACCCATTTTTATAAAACAAACTGCTAGATTTAAAAAGTAGGAAACTTCAATACTCTCACTATTGGGTCAACCAGAGAGAAATCAACATCAGAGTTAAACCACACCATTCAACAGATAGACTTAACAAATACCTATAATAACCAAGTCCACGTAGTGGCATATGCCTATGATTCCAGCACTCAGGAGGCTGAGGCAAGAGGATCCTTGCGAGTTTGAGACCAGCCAGGACTATGAAGTGAGTTCAAGGCCAGCCTCAACTGCATAGCAAGACCTTGTCTCAAACACACAAACAGACCTACAAAGGGTTTTTTTTTTGTCTTTTTCATTTTTATCTGTACCGGGGATCAAACTCACCACCGCCTGCTAGCAAGGCAGGTGCTTATGCCGCTGAGCTAAATCCCCAGCCCCTCCTACAAAGGGTTTTATCCAACAATGATAGAATACACATTTTTCTCAGCAGCATATGGAACTTTTTCCAAAATAGACCATTTTTGAGGCCATGAAATAATCTTAAACACGAACATAAATAATCCCCTGTATAGCATTGATCATAGTGGGGTGAAACTACAAATTAGTAGCAAAAGAATCCACAAAAACTATGTAAACATATGAAAATTAAATAATAGATTATTGAATAATCACAAGAAATTGGGGAAGAAATTGAAAAGTGCATACCAACAAATGACAATGGAAAGGAAAAAAACAACAGAGGCATAATGTCCAATTCCTAAGGGACACAATGAAAGCACTTCAAAGAAGGCTGAGAATCGTAGAGAGCCCAAGTTAGTAACTTTACAGTGCAGCTCGAGGCTGTTGAAAGAGAAGAACAATCTGAATCAGAAACTAATAGAGTGACAAAAGGCAGAACAGAAATTAGTGAAATTGAGATCAGTGAATCCGAGTTGGTTCTTTAAATGGATGGAAAAGGAACCTGAGGATGGGGAGAGAAGGTGGAGAGGGAAAGAAGTAAAAAGTTGCAGAATATATATGGACCAGTTCCCTCACAGTAAAAGTACTATGTATCACAAATGTATTAATAAGAAATTGAGTCAGGAATATAGCTCAGCAGCACAGCGCCTGCAGAGAAGGTGGTAAGTTTGAGTCCCAGTACAAAAAAAAAAAAAAAATTCCACAGCAAATCCTGTCTCATCCCATGCATTCTCACTGACTGGCTCTGGGGCAGTGTTTTTCCTGTCCTCAGAATCATCCCAATTGTTCTTGGTGATCACGGAACATCACATCCTGATCTGTCAGTAATTTGTCTTTTTCTGAGCCTGTCCTAATGGACAGAAACTGTGTTTCCATGTTTGTACCTCACCTCAGAGCCTAATAAAAATTTTTTCAATAGGTAGGCAGTGGGGAAATAAAGACAGTGATTTAAAAATGGTGAATGTAAAAAGTTCATAATTCCAAGCCATGGTGGTGCACACCGATTCTCTTAGCTACTTGGGAGGCTGAGGGCAAAAGAACTGTAAGTTCAAGGCCAACCTGGGCAACAGTGTGAGACCCTGGTTGAGGATGGGGTGCTGCCTACAAGGTGCCTGGGCAAGCTGGGGAGTGTGAGTGTGTTCTCTACACCGCAGTGAGGTTGCTTCTTAGTGCCAGGTTGTGCAGTGCACTGGTGTTAACTGCAGATGCAGGACGCCTTGAAGAGCTCTGCAGTGGCACAACTGAAACTCACTGCTCCACCATGAGAAGCAGTCCTCTGGCCCCCCTCTACAACCTGCCCACTCATCCTTGAAATCCTTGTTCTGTCACTGCTTTTTTTGAGACAGGGTCTTGCTATGTAGTTCAGGCTGACCTTGAACTCATTATGTAGCCCAGACTGGCCTCCAATTTATGGTGATCCTCCTGCCTCAGCCTCCTCAGGGCTAGGATTGTAAGTGTCTGCCACCACGCCCAGCTCCTATCTTCTGATGGTGGCAATAGCTGCACTATGCATCTGTCCAAAGTCATGCTCTAAAGCTGGGTGTGGTGGCCTAGGCCTGTAATCCCAGCACTCTGGAAGGTTGAGGCTGGAAAATCACAAGTTCAAGCCCAGCCTGGACAATTTAGTGACTTGGAAAGACCCGGTGTTTAAACAGTGAGATTCAGGGCTGGGAATTTAGCTCAGTGGCATAAGTGCCTGCCTGGCAAGCACAAGGTCGTGAGTTTGATCCCTGGCGTGTGTGTACATACACACACACACACACACACACACACACACACACACACACACACACTGAGATGCAGTTCAGTATTAAAGTCCTGGGTTCAATCCCCAGTACCACCAAACAAACAAAAGGAAAAAAACACACTAAGAAAGGCAAATCATACTGTATGTAAATTACACCTAATTTAAACACTCTAAATGTGAACAACAAGAAATCACCCCGCAGCTTACTTAGTGGTTATAAGGTGTGAACTTCAACTTTTGCAGCACAGAAGTGTGGCTGTGACACTGTCCAATGTGGTCAAATTGAGTCTCACTAAAGCAGGACTAGCAGACCCTGGGTGCTGACCTGCGCGGTGGCCCTGATTACACAGGACCCAGGATTCAGACCTCATTCCTGGTTAACAGTGCCTGGAGGATACATTCACACAAATCCAGGAGTGAGGGAGAAGCTGTCTCAAGGGACAACTGGCTTGGACTCTGCAGAAAGGTCAGTATCAAGCTTAAAAAAAAAAAGGTGAAATGGGTGGGACAGGCAATTCCATGGAGATTAAGCGATACATCTTTTGACAAACCAGGTCCAACAGATGTTTTGGGCTAGTATGATGGCACTCACCTGTAATCCCAGCTAAACAGAAGGCTGAGGCAAGAGGATGACAAGTTGGATGTGTCTCAAAATAATTAAAAAGAGGATGGGGTGGGGAGGGAGTAAGGACTGGAGAGTGTAGCTCATTGGCTGAGCACTTGTTCACCATTTCGAGGCCTGGGTTCAGTCCTGGGTGAGGTGTGAGAGTACGGGCAAAGTAGGAGGATTTAAATGGGGACAGGGGATTAGATAGCATTGATAAGTCATGATTAAGGTCCTTATGCTTGCTAAAGGTAGTGGCTTTTGAGAGATGCTGACACGTTGGCATGATTTGTCTAAGTTAGAATATCTCTGCTAACATAAGTGAATACGTGGATGAGGTGGGGGGACCAGTAATAGGACTGTGGGCAAAAACTGTGTCCGTGGACAGGCACCAGTGCCTGCTGCAGTTAGAGAAATGCAGCTGTCCTCACCACCCAGAACTGTCCCCGGAGACACTGCAGCCACGCCGGACGGGTTGCTGGCCAGGGGCCCTCTCTTGTGCTGGCAGGGTATCACACAATCACACCTCTACACTGGCTCTGTGCCTGAGTCCCTGTGTCTTGGCCTAAATCTCACTCAAACTTCACCAACTTCACCAAAAATCGGAAGTGGGTTGTTTCTGGGCCCCCGGCTCCTATTGAGGGTGCCCTCCCCATCTGGATGTTTTGTTTGTGTTACGTCTGCGCGGTGACACTGTCGGCGACCACCGGGTCCCCAGGGGCCGCGTCCACGTGCACCTGCGCTCGCACCTGTGCTGCGGACATCGCAGCTGCTTCCTGCTGGGATGTCGCCCCCACCCCCATCTCGAGATCCACCAAGACTCCCTCACTGCCGCCCCAACTGCGACCCACGCTCTTCCGGAAGGGACAGCCCTGCGCTCGCCCCAGTCTCCCGGAAGTGCGCTTCTCTCCCGGCGGCTCTTGCGCTCGGCCCGGTCCCCGAGCGGGGAGGGCGTGGCTGCAGGCCCGGGGCGCCCCAGGTCAGCGCCCGCCCCGCCCTCGACCTGGGCTTTGTCCGCCCCAGCCTGGGCTCCCTTGGAGCCGGTGAAAGGCGTTGGTGGAGGGCTCAAGGCCAGCGTCCCCTGGATCTGGGAGCCCAAGGAGCAGCCGGGTGCGCGGAGCCCTCTCGGACAAGGATCGCACAAGGATCGCACAAGGATCGCATGGCCCGCAGAGGCTGGGACTTGATCTACGCACAGAGAAGCAGCCAGGGGCAGCAGGGGACTAGCAGTCGGGGGCCGCTGCCCCAACGGAGTCCAGCTTACGGAGCTGTCCCGTTCTCCGGGTGGGGAGGACAGCATCTCCGGCCACCCCCAGCTGATCCTGACTCCGTGTCCCCTGGCGAATACAAGGGACAACGCCCACCTCACCGGTGCCACTGGCCTGGCCTCTCGCCCGCCCCCTCGCAGGATGCCCGAGGGTCCCGAGCTGCACCTGGCCAGCCGCTTCGTGAACCAGGCCTGCCGCGGGCTGGTGTTCTGCGGAGCGGTGGAGAAGTCCCCAGTAAGCCGCAATCCTGAGGTGCCCTTTGAGAGCAGCGCCTACTGCATCTCTTCCATGGCCCGAGGCAAGGAGCTTCGCCTAACGCTGAGCCCTCTACCCGGGGCTCTGCCAGTCCGGGAGCCCCTGGCCCTGGTCTTCCGCTTCGGGATGACCGGCTCTTTTCAGCTGGCCCCCGCCGAGGCGCTGCCACCCCACGCCCACCTGCGTTTCTACACGGCCTCTGCTGCCCCCCGTCTGGCCCTGTGCTTCGTGGACATCCGCCGCTTTGGCCGCTGGGACCTGGGAGGCGAGTGGCAGCCAGACCGCGGGCCTTGTGTCCTGCTGGAGTATGAACAGTTCAGGTAGGACTGGCATCCGGCGTGAGAACCAAGGCAGTGTTCCCACCCTGAGCCTCTGGGTAAGAGGAGAGGCCACTGCCTGAACATAGAAACGCTAGCATGGACTGCAGCTTGCACCCAGAACACCACTGTTCCTTGGCGCTTCCTCTGGCAGAGGTGGAGGGTAAGAAGCAAGGCTGCAGTCAGGAGTGGCCCACTCCTGTAACCCTGGCACTTGGGAGCTAGAGGCAGGATGCTGAGCTCCAGGTTAGCCTGGGCCACTTGAGACTCTGTCTCACCATAAAACCTGAAGAGCAGCTGTGATGTAGCTCAGCAGTAGAGCCTTGCCCAGTATGTACATGGCCCTGGGTTCAATCTCCAAACTCCTCAACAGCTGGGAGGGGGAGGCAGCACTGGGTTTGTTTAAGAGGGCTGGTGGAGGTGGGGGCTGCCTGATGACAGCTCCTGAGTCAGGCTGGTCTCCATATGCTGCTAGCCCTGAGTCTGTGTCTTGGGCTCTCCTCTGTGAGTGTCCCCTACTGCAGGACCCACCTGGGATCTGATATTGGTCACCTAAAGTGACATGGTGCCAGCAACTTCCTCCCCTCACAGAGGTGTCAGAGTTACTGGTTTGTTCCAGCTTTGACCAGGACTGGGCATTACCATTACCTGGGAGGGAAAAGGAAACACAAGATGAACTCACACAGGAACTAGGGAAAATCCAACAGGTGAAGGTACAGTGGGTTACTTTGGTGGCAAGTGTGGAAGCACTAGGTATGGCTACTTAGGGAGGGACTCAGCCCCACAAATCCAAGGAAAGGATTCTAACTGGCAGGAGTACAGAGACTGGGGTGGCCTTAGCAGTTTCCCTGGGACAAGTCTATCCCTGGTCCTGGCTTTTGTACACTGTAACACTTTTGGACAGCTAGGAAGAAAGCCTTGCTTTTTTTTTTTTTTTTTTTTTTGGTCTTCTTGTTATGCAGTTCAGGCTGGCCTTGAATTCACTTTGTAGCCCAGGCTGGTCTTGAACTCGAAAGCATCCTCCTAGGTGCTGAGATTACAGATGTGCACCACCATGCCTAGAGGCCTCACCTTCCTTTTACAGAGCTCCAGGCTGGCCCTGCGCAGAGGGCTGTAGAACTGCCCTGCTGGAAGCTTCCCTTGATGGACAGCAAGGCTGTTTTTAGGGTCCTCTTGCTGGGGAGTGCATGGAGCCTGAGGAGCACCCAGGGGACCTTCCACTCTTTCCCCAGACTTGGTCCTCTGGCTCTGTCACACTCTCATACCCCTAGCCTAGCCAGTCTGCCCTGATCCTTTCCCTGAAGAAGCATTTTGAAAAATGTTTTTTTAGGGGTGAGGGAAGGAGCCCCAATCCTTGGACATAGCCAGATGCCCATTGGGGCAGGGTTTAGCATGGCCTAAACCACCAGGGTCCTTGCAGGTAGCTCCGGATCATACATGCCAGGAGGCCCTGTGCTCACTTACCTTGCACTCAAGTGTCCTGTGCTGAGCACAAAGACCAGTGTACGGACTCATGTGCTCCCTGACCATGCTGCTTCTGGTTGCTATTTTTCACCTTTCATAATAGATTTAAGTCTCATCTCCTCCCATTGAACAGACAGGAAACTTGAGGCTTTAGTGCTCAAATAGTATTGAGATAAAAGGAGGGCTAGGACCCTCTTTCCTCTCCTTGCACCCAGTAAGTTTCCCCCAGCTCCTTTCCATTGCCCCAGGAGTAGGGTAGAGGCTTCACAACCAGGACTGTGTTCCCCAGGGAGAATGTGCTCCGAAACCTGGCAGATAAGGCATTCAATCGGCCCATCTGTGAGGCCCTCCTGAACCAACGGTTCTTCAATGGCATTGGCAACTACCTGAGAGCAGAGATCCTGTTCCGGTTAGCAGGCGGGCCATGAGTGCGGGCCAGGGGGTGGGTTAATCCACTGATGTTGAGGCTCAGTGTGGCCCTCCTTGTATCCCTGCTACTCCAGGCTAAGGATCCCACCCTTTGAGAAGGCACGCACTGTCCTGGAGGCTCTGCAGCATCAACGGCTGGTGAGGGCACCTCGGAGATGTGAGCATGTGGTCTGGATGTGGGTGTCCCAAGCTGAACTCCACATGAGGAGTTGGGGAGGGGATGAGACACCTTGGGGCCCTGCCTCAAGCTGACAGCCAGGCTCTGCCTGCCCGTCTGCAGAACCCAGAGCTCACTCTGAGCCAGAAGATCAGGATCAAGCTGCAGAACCCGGACCTGCTAGAACTTTGCCACTTGGTGCCCAAGGAAGTAGTCCAGCTGGGTGAGGCCGAGGGAACCAAGACAGCTTGTAAGCCCTGCTGTGCAACCTGGACTGCTGTCCTCCTGAGCCTGGCTCCCCACTGGGTTGGGAGTTCATGGACTTCTTGGCCAGTGCCCATCTCCTCTAGGCTGCAACATAGCAGGCATGGCCACAGCAGGCGGGGGAGGCCATGGGCCAGAGTGGGGAAGGCACAGCCATAATGACACAATGAGTGGCAGGGGGGGAGCTTGACTCTGACTCAGTTACAGCTGTGGACCAGGTCCCACGCTTTCTGCCCAGAGTCAGCCTCTCACCTCTGCTGGGTCCCTGTGTCCCACAGGGGGCAAAGGCTATGGGCCGGAGCAAGGGGAGGAGGACTTCGCTGCCTTCCGAGCCTGGCTGCAGTGCTACAATGTGCCAGGCATGAGCTCCCTGCGGGACCACAATGGCCGCACCATCTGGTTTCAGGTCTGGGCTCTGCTGCTCACACAGGCACACAAAACCCAGGGAAGCTGGTGAGGTGGAGATGCCTAGAGCCCACGGAGGTCCCCAAGGGTCACATGGTGATACCCGTCCCCTCTGTTGAGCCCCAGGGTAGCAGCTGGTGGAGGTCTCCAGGCAGGCAGCTACAAGGCTTGCCTCTGTGAGGAAAGCTGCTGCTGTCCAATGCAGGCAGATTCCACAATTATGCGTTTTCTGTTTTAGGGGGATCCTGGCCCCTTGGCCCCCAAAGGTAAGCAACTGCTAATGTAATAGGCTAAGGAGCCATGGAATGGGTGCTAGAGAAGGGGCTGAAGCTGCAGGACCCCCAAACCCCAGCAAAATGTCCTGCAGGGAGCAAGTTCCGAAAAAAGAAATCCCAGGAAACCCTCCCAGGACCCATGGATGGAATGGAGGTATGGCTGCCTACCCCTGCCTCCCATGCAGCCCTGCCCTGGCTGCATCTCCCAGGCTGGCCTCATGGCCAGCTGCCTGCCCCTGACACCAGGTGGACAGGTCCTGACCATCCTATGGCTGCTGAGGGGAAGGACCCTCAAGATCTGTGTCTCTTCTACCCAGTGCCCTCCACCTCTAATCAAGGGACCTTCTAAGACACCAGGGGCTCAAAGGGACCTTCCTGAGATGACTACAGCCCCCCAGCCTGACAGGCCAGGCCTCCAACATGACCCAGAAGCTCCCATAGTCCTTGAGAAAGGGAGGAGGCGGCGGCGGCGGCAACAGGCCACCACAGGTGGGGAAAATAGGCCTTGGGAAGCAGGTGGGATGCCCTGTAGGAAGTGTGCAGAGGCAGGGGGAGCCTACTGGGCAGGCCCAGTGTGGGGTCTCAGCACCCCGCCTCTTTTTGTCCCCCAGGCCGCCGCAGAGCACGGAAGAGGAAGGCTGACAGCCCATCTGAGGAATCTGGGGTCACCACAGCCTCTTAGCTTGTCTCCTTGCTTGCACTTACCCTTTTGGGTACCCAGCTGGGAACCTGAGCCTGTCCAAGTTCCTAGAAGCAACACTGGAAGGGCCACATAGCTGTGGCCTGTGGCTGTTCAACTGTCATGTTTTTAATTGTATTCCATATTCCACATTTTTAAAACACTCATGGAAAATGGAGTATTTTTATATGAACGAATAAATTTGAACTTTCTGGCACTTCTTGGGCTGGCTGCAGGTCTACAATGGCTAGGTCATTTTTATTTACTTACTTTCTTAAGACAAGATCTTGTTATATAGTCCAGGCTGGCCACAAACATGTGGCGATCTTCCTGTTGCAGCCTCCCAAGGGCAGGGGTTACAAGTGTGTTGCCACTATGCTTAGCTCAATGGCTAGGTTGGAATGAAGCCTGCTGCCCAGTAACAGGGACCTCCTTAGCAAGGCAGACTGAGCCCCAAATTGTCCTCAAGGCTCTGGCTATCAGAGCTTGGGAGGTGGTGCATTACAAGGCTCCAAGCTCCTCCAAGTCAGGCTCTTTCAGGGCCAGTGGCGGCCCCCCAGCCTGGCCCTGACTAGTCACCGCTGCTCTCCTATAGGCCCAGCTAGAATGTACCCACCTGACTTCCTCCCCAGGTCCTCTGTCTCTTATCTCAGAGTCCTCAGGCTCTGGCATGTTACTGACACCCCGCACACATAGGTGACCTTGGCCTGCCTTTAAATCCCTGGGAAGAAACCCTCCCCTTCTACCCTAAAGCTGAAGACAAGCCCCAAGGAAAACCAGCAGGAGCTACTAGCAGGTTGCTGCTGACCTAAGAATTTATTGTGCCCGAGGTGACAGGTCCTTGTTTGAGGCTGGGAAGGCAACTGAGTCCCAAAGCCTTACATAAACAAAACATCACCCCCAGGTACTCAGGTTGATGGAGGCTGGAGCACCAGCAATAGGGACCTCACTTGGAAGGGAGAAAAGGTGACCTTCAGGCGTGAGTCTTGAAAGGGCAGATGGCCAGCAGGATCTCTGCGTTCCAGGAGATCGCAGCTATGGGACAGACAGGGTCATCAGGGCCAGAAGGGATGGGACTCCCACCTGCGACCCCACCCATGCCTCCACTCACAGGACAGCCTCCTGCACGGGCAGCGATGTGTGCACCCAGCAGTTCACGTGGCTGCCGTGGGCCTCGTACAGCCGCAGGACCAGTGTGCGCTTCTGAGTTATGGTCTCAGCCTGGGGAGGGAGGCAGGTGGTGGGTAGGCTGTAGCATGGCCAGCCTGGGACCCTGACCCCAGAAAGCACCCCATGCTTGCCTGTTTGATGGTCTCCAACACAACAGCTGGCGAGGAGAGTGAAAAGGCACTCCAGGCAGTAGTTGGTGCCGGACCTGGGGCTGGCAGCACCAACAAAGGGAAGTTGAGGCTGTAGGCAGCAGGGATAACACCAGCATCCTGGAAGGAGCCTGAGCATGGCCAGAAAGGCACGCATGGTGAAAACAGAGCCCTCTGGGGGGCCAGGCTGCTAAGGTATATACCAAGGAGGGTGGTTTATGTGGCTTAGAGCAGGGCAGGGTTAATCAGGGCGGAGGAAAGCCCTGGCATGCCTGGCACTCACCTTCATGTGGCATCAGTGCATAGGTGAACTTGTGGCACCCCATGTCAGCGGTGGCATCAGGAGCCTTAGGTGCTCGAAGCCTGCAGTGGGAGGGAGCCAGGGCTAGAGTCTGGCCTGGAAAGACCAGCCTCCCACAGCAGGCCAGCCTGGGAGGGCCCACTCACAGCGATAGGCTGAGGATGTTGCCTCGCACCGAGGCCCCATACTTGCAGTCGTTGAGCAGGGCCAGCCCGAAGCCATGCTCAGACAGGTCCATCCAGCGGTGGGTCCATACCTGCGGCATGTCCAAGACCACTTGGTGATCCTACTCCTTTCCTTGGGTCCCTATTCACTGGCATGCCTATCATGAGGGTGTCACTAGGATTCAATTCTCGTCTTCACTTTAGCAAACTTCATGTATGCTACCCAACCTGTCTGCCTCATGCATATCAAACTAAATGTACAGCATTTAGCCTGAGCTCTGGCACAGGCAACTGCTGGTCCTGCTTGTTCTTTTCCTCGCTCACACCACACAGTCTGTCTCTCAGCCTACCCCTGTGGCAGACCTCAAATCGAGCCCAGTCCCAGGAGGTGTTGTAGTGTGTGGGTCGCTGCAGGTGCCCAAACTGGATCTCGTAGGTAGCCTGGGGGCTCCGCACGCGGGCAGGGAACTCCACCTTCAAGAACTTGTGGGCCTCGTGCCAGTACACCTGGAAGCACAAGGGAAGGGAAGAGAGGGCCACCCCTAGCTAGGGACGACCCCTCTTCACCAGCTACTCCTGGGAAAGGTGGCCACCGCCCTGTCCCAGCTACCTCAGTGTGGAAACGGACATAGGGGCAGCCAATGTCCAGCACGACCTCCTGGCTGAGCCGACTGCTGGGGCTGATCTGTAGCAGGAACCAGGCACTGCCCCGAAGGCCACCCTCACTGCCCACAGCCAGCGTCCCTGCTTGGGCTAGCACGGGCTTCCTGTGGGACAGAGGGGGACACTGAGCCAGGATAGCCTGTATCCTCACCTCCTGTCCTCCAAGTACTGCCCAGCAGATACCGTGTCTCCAGGTGGTAGTCCATGACGTCCCAAGCATCCCAGTACAAGGGGACATCATCAAACAGTACAAACTGGTTCCCCAGAGCACCCTCAGCAACGGCCTCCCTGAAAGGACATGGGAATCAGCATTTTCCATCTGTATGACCTTGCGCCCACCTGGAGACACAGGGTAAGTGGGGACAGGGGATACTTGGCCCAACCTGCCTCACCCACAGTGGGTCCCGGGTGAGTCCCTAGTGGGCCGTTGTGGCCAAGGGATGGAGGGACAGGTACGGATAAAGGACAGCAAGGAGTTAGCACCTGCCAGAGGCCACCAGAATTAGGGATGTCAGGTGGCCAGTTGGATCCAGTCTCACTCGGATGATGCCATTGTCCAGAGTCACAGAACCGTCAGTCTTGGGTGGGAGAGAATTAAGAAACTGAGCCTGCAGGGGCCTCCACAACCAGGGCCCTCCCATCCTCGGCTCCAGCCCCCTGGGTATGGGCTCAGGAGCACCCAGGACACCTGGGTCCTCCTGGGAGCTGTAGGACTTACCTCCTGCATCACGGACACTGGCTGCTGGGGCAGCAGAGGCTGTGGCGAGGTGGGGGCAGGAGGAGCAGGCGCATAGCCTATGCTAGGCACGGTCACCAGGGCTGAGGGTGAGACCCAGCCATCAGTGCAAGCCACTGACCACCCAGAGACCTTGCTCAGGTCAAAACAGGGTGGTGAATGACATAGCTCCTACCCTCTGCCATGAGGCACCCCGAGACCCCTAGAAATCCCCAGCAGAGTGTGCTGTGTTCCTGAGTTCTGGTGGCCCGAGTTCTTCCCCTCCGCTCCTACCGAGGGTCTGGGCCCCACCAGGGTTGGGCAGAGCCAGCACTTCTGTGCGCTTCCAGGGCAGTGTGTTGACAACCAGAAGGCCCTTGGGCCCAGGCTCCCCAGCACATAGGGCACCAGCTGCAGCACTGAGCAGTGTGTTGCCATGGGAACGGATGTCTGTGGAAAGAAGGGCTGCTCATAGGGTCATGGGTTTGGGTGATCCGTGTATTCCATGGAGGGGAAGTTGTGGGCCCAGCCCCCGTGTATTCCATGGAGGGGAAGTTGTGGGCCCAGCCCCAGGTTGCAGAGGGCAGTGGGACTTATCAGCCTCACCTTCGTAGTGTTTCATGGCATCCTCTGCCACCAGCTGGATGCAGCTTCCAGTCACCACGTCATGGAACTGGTTCAGCAGCAGGAGCCTGAGAGGGCAGTGAGGGTGGGAATGGGATGCTGGCACTGGCAGTGGCAAAGGTGTCTGGGCTTGGCAGGGGCAGGTGCCAGGCTGACCTCCAGAGGTGCTGTAGCTGGGCTGCTGGGTATAGGAAGTGGGTACCACGGGCCAGAGCCAGGCTGCTGAGCAGCTCAACGTCGTGCAGGATCCGCTCACATTCCCGGTTCCCCTTCTTGATCTGTGCCCAAGGGGCAGAGGTGGGTGAGTCTGGGTCCTGCCTAAGTATCCCAGGATATTCCAGAGCCGCCTGAGCTATAGCCCACTCTGCCCACTCCACCTGGACCTTCTCCTTCAGCACCCCAGGGCCCTAGCCCTTGCCATGTCTCTCCTTGGGATGGAGCAGCTGGGCTCTGCCCCACCTCTAGCCAGCTGCAGACCTGGGCATGGGTGGTGTAGGTGCCATTGTGTAGCTCCAGGAAAAGCTCCCCAACCCATGTGCACAGCTTGCCCTGGTCACTCTCCAGTGCTTGGAAGAGCTGGTCCGGAGAAGATAGCTGCACCCTAAGAGAGGCCACAGCTTAAGCCTCAAAGTCTTCCACTCTGAGGAAGCCCCATCACAGCTCCTGGCACACACAGCACTGGCTCCAGAAACTCAGGAACTGCCCTCTGGTAGGCTTAGGCTCCTACCTACCATGGCATTCCCCGCTACCCACTAGATGGAAGCCTGGAGAAGCTAGTAGGCGGGGCTTGGAGGAGGATGAGGGTGGAGGGGCGAGCCCAGTGCAGGGGTAGAGGGCAGGCTCGAGGCCAGGGCTGAAGTGGCTACACAAGTGACGCCTGACCTGGGCAGCCCATCGGTGTGGTCCAGGCGCCTCAAGCGGTCCAGCATGGTCTGAGTGGGGCCACCACCCCCATCACCAAAACCAAAGAGAAAGGCACTGTGGTTGGCTCGCCCCTTGTCCTGGTTGTTGGTCACAGTCTTCAGCACCTGGAATGAAGGGCAGTGAGTTGGCCCACCTAGCCCAGGATGCCTGGCCCTCTCTAGCTGCCCCTCACCTGGCTCTAGGTGCCCCTTACCTCTTCCACATTGCCCTGCATTCCATAGGAGTCACCAGGTGGGAAGTGAACCAGCACAGGAGAGCCATCCAGTCCCTCCCAGAGAAAGGTGTGGTGCTAAAGCAGAGGACAGAGGCAGGGAGAGGCCAGGGTCAGGATGAAGCAGGGTGGCCTTCCCAGACGGTGCTCACCCTGGCTTGCCTGCTGCAAGATGCTGATGGCACCTCAGCCCTATCCCACTATCCCAGGGGGATCTGGTGGTCTGCTGGCGCTCCTTGATAAGCCTGGGCAGAGGCTTAACTGTCTTGCTGCGACCCTGACCCTGAGTTGTGCTCACAGGGAAGGAGTTCACCAAATTCCAGCTCAGCTTCTGGGTCAGGAATCTCGTGATGCCACAGCCACGCATGATCTGGGGGAGCTGTGCCGAGTAACCGAATGTGTCTGGCAGCCAGAACTATAGAAAGAGGGCCATTTTGGGACTCAGCCTCAGCCCCAGTGCCCTGGGTGAGCCTACCCATACTGTGCCCAGATGGGGCTGGCCCTCCCTACCTCAGAACACAGCTTCCCAAACTCCTGCAGGAAGAACCTCTGGCCCTGCAGGAACTGCCTCACCATGGCCTCTCCACTGGGCAGGTTCCCATCCTGGTAAGGGAACAGAGAGGTGGCCAGTCAACCTGAGTGGGCAGAAGGCAGGCAGGGGCAAGGGCCAGCTCTACATCCCTGATGAGAGGCTAGGCCTCAGGAAGTGCCCACTTCCTCACTTCCTACTCAGTGTGAGTGTGCATCTGCCTGTGGTGGTGCTGGGATCAGACCCACCTCCCTGGGAAGCCTGGGGGACTAATAAACGCTGTCACAAAGAGGGCAGGAGCAGCCTCTAGAAAATTACCCACTAGACCAAGGGGCTGGCCAGCTGGGGGAAGGCCATTGATATGGGGTACTCACCATTTCCACCCAGGTGCCTCCCACAGGCACGAACTGCCCTCGGCAGGCAAACTCCTGAAGCTGGGCATATAAGCTGGGGTAGTGGCTCTTTACCCACTCGAGCTGCTGTGCCTGTGGGGTGGAGATGGGGAGAGATGGGCCATGGGTGACAAGGACCTCATGTAGGGCTAAGAATCTGGGACTCTGAGGCACAAGAATCCCCAGAACCCACCCTGCCCCATGGAGCTTCCCTGACCTGAGAGCAGACAAAGATGAAATCGGCATTCTGCTCCATGAGCTTTACGGCTGTCACCCAGCTCCGGGCACATTTCCGCACAGTCTCCTTAAAGGGCCACAGCCAGGCTGGAGAGGGAGAGGGCAAGAGTGCAGTGGCAAGATCCCCAAAGGTCCCTTGCTTCTTCCCTGTCCCAGCACCCTGCTGGCCCAGCCCTCCTCCCGGTCGGGGGCCCGGCCATTCATTCCTTGGGGCCCATGACCTCCTCCTCAGCTGTCGCTTCAAATCCTCTGTGTGGTAGGAGAGGGTGGGAAAGGAAACCTGTTTCTTTACCTGCCTGGAACTGTGCACCCTGACACACAGATACACACCCCACACTGGCACAGCAGAAAACCTTGTTCTATGATTCAGAAACCCTCACTGCATCAGAATCAACATGTTAGGAAGCTTGTTGAAAATTTCTCACAGCCTCAAGACACTGGAATTCCAGTAGGACCAGAGCTGACCTATGACACCGGGCATTTGGGCTCAGTCTCAGTTAGCTCTACACCTTCTCTCTCTGAGGATTCATGCAAACTTATCAATCGTGTCCTGCTCCATTTGGCTAAGTACCTCTCCTGCATTCCCCACAGGCTCTTCCACCCCATGCATCACCACAGCTGTGGTCACTCTGTAGCCATCACTCTGTGATGTTACCCCAGTCTCCAGCACACTGTGAGGCAATAGGTTTTGTTGACAGAATAAGTCACAGTGAGAAGAGCCCATAGTTGTGCACTTCTGCCCCATTTTACAGGTGGAGAAACAGGCCCAAAAGGCGTGTGGGACTATGGAGAGGCTCACTGTGTTTCTTGGACACAGCCACAGTTTGAGGGCTCGGCTCCTGCCTTTTCAGCCAACCCAACCAGTGGTACCTACCTGTATCAATGTGGCAGTGGCCCATGGCATGGAGAGTGTGCTGGCTGTCACCCCCACGTTGACCAAAGAAATGGGAGGCCAAGGCCTGGGCCACTGGGAAGGTCTCAGGTCGGGCAGGGTCACAGACATTCACCATCTGGTTGGCCGTGTACAGGGCCTGGAAGCTGCGCTGGTTGTCCTTCCCGAGGCCCTGTGTGGGGTTCTGTCTGTAAGTCCCCTCTCAAGCTCCAGCACTGGGTCCAGCTGACCTCCTAGGTTCCCAGCAGGGCCTCTAGCCCTTTGTCCCCACCTCCCTTGATGTCACATTAGCACCATGTCCCTTTACTTAGGAAAATCCTCATTTTGCCCTGGATTTGAGTCCCAGTGACTTAGCAGAGAAAACAACACATTCAGAGCAGGCAATGCAGTGACCAGGGTGTGTGGTGTCAGTACCTTGGCTATGCCCAGCAGTAGTTCCAGGTCCACCAGGAGCAGGTGGATATCCCGGTGGAACACAGCCAGCTCGGCCCGCTTCAGCTGGAACATCTTCTCAGGGTCAGGAGGAGCAATCATGGTTCCCTTTCCAGCCCCCAGGAGCCCACTGCAGGCCACTTCCACATAGAGGGTTAGGCTGCAAACATGGCGAGGCCAAGCAATGCACAGGGACCCCCAGGGAAGGGGCACACAGGCAGTGTTCAGCTGCCCCTCCCAACCATCTCCATGACCCACCACCTGGAAGATCCAGAAAAAGTGGCCAGGTGTGTGACAGAAACCCCAAGACCAAGCCATGGCCTTCTGAGTATTCTGCCTCGATCAGGGATAGCAAGTGGCCTGGCTTGGGAGCCTGTGAATACCACTGTTTAACCTTTTATTTCCAAAGTTGTAAGAGCAAAGTACTGTGTTAGCCTTACAACCTACCCTGCATATTGTAAGTGTGACTTTTCAGTTCAAACTCCATCAGCCATCAAGAGTGGAAGTTGCTGCACCCAAGCCTCTCAGGGTAACCCTGGCAGGGAAGCCTGTAACTTTCTCTTAGCCGGGCATGGTGGCACACACCTGTAATCCCAGCACTCAAGAGGCTGAGGCAGAAGGATCGCTGCAAGTTTCAGGCCAGCCTGGGCTACACAGTGAGTTCAAGGCCAGCCTGAACTACATACTCAACTCCCAGCATTTTCTTTCAAAGCCCTCATTTGTTTTGTAGTTATGAGTTCTTCAGCATTATAAGGAAATGAACCTCAGATTTTCATATTAAGCTACATCACCAGCTGTGTGTGTATGTGTTTGTGTGTGTGTGTGTGAGAGAGAGACAGACAGACACAGAGAGACAGTCTTGCTAAGTTTGAGCACAGGATAGGCTCAAATTTGTGATCCTCCTGCATCAGCCTCCTAGAGTGCTGGATTTAGAGGTATGTGCCATCATGCCTGGCTTATATGAGTATTTCTGTGTCTCAGCTATTCAGGACCATATTCCCAGTAGATAGAAACATCTGAAACAGTGTTCAGTAAATAGAAAGCATAATAATAATGTCTATGAAGCCCTTCAGGTGGTATCATAAGATGCCCATGTTATATTATAGGTTGTAAAAAGTCAAGGTGCAAAACACTGAAGTAAAGCTAGAGGTGTAGCTTAATGGTAGGCAGCTTGATCAGCAGGAGCACACTTCTAGGACCAATCCCCAGCACCATGGTGCTGGTGGGAGAGAATTAACTCAGCTAGTAAAAAAGACTTTTTACTGAAACACCGAGAATATGAATACTGAGGTGACAATAGCTGTCATCTCTAGGTGGTGGACAATGGGAGAAATTTACTTCTTTGTGTTTTTCTATACTTACTGCAAGAAGGTAAACATTATGTTTAGTCAGGCAAAGGCCTACTTTCTCAACCAGACTGCTAATGGCTGTGCTGGAGGCAGAAGGGCTTCTGAGGTACCTCAGGCCTTCTGTCCACCCAAGTGCCCATCAGGGCACAGGCACTCACCTCCGGGGGTCTCCTTCTCCCAGCCTGTTGGTCAGGATGTAACTGTTCTTCTCACCCTCTGTAGTCAGACCCTGAGAGGGAGTTAAGAGATAGGGCCTAGGTCTTTGGACAGTTCAAGGGATGCATAAGAAGAGAGGTGCCAGTCTCCAGCACTTGGTCCTCTCTCTCAGGAAGGGTCTCACATCCCACAGCAGTGAGCATCCTGACCACTAAATGGCATGTGCTTGCCAGTGGAAATGGTTTTATGTGAAGAGTTCTGGACAGGAACTAGGAAAATTGGGTGTGGTTTATTGTGGCCACTGCACTCTGAGTATTTAAATACCTGAAAAGAAACTCCATAAAGACAGGGACAGGTGTGCCTTATATCCTGTTACCTCCTCAGTACCTCATGGAGTGTGTACCAAGTGGCTGCACATATCAGTTGAGCTAGTGAAGGGAAAGAGGGAGGAGGAAGGGAAGAAGGCCTCTGCCTTCTTCCAGGACAGGAAACACAACAGTCCTAGCCCCAGATTAAGTCCAGTTTGGATGCTGCATGAACCAGTGAACGAAGTTGTATCTATCTGTTTCTTAATCTGTTAAGTGAACATAAAGACAAGCCACACAGGATTATAAAGCTTAAAGCCTGATGTGAAGATATCCGAAGTCTTACTTTATAGCATCTAGAAATCTGAAAAATTTCCCCTAAGCATGTATTATATAGAATAACTTTTATTGAAACCAGTACTATACAGGTGCCCAAGGGTAACTTTCGCAGTCATTAAGTCCTGAGATCTCTCTAAAAGCAAAGCCACTTGGGTGGGGCTCAGAGTTGGTGTACCCAGGCCCTGGGGCCAGACCACTCACCTGGACTGGCTCTCCATCGCGCCAGACTAGGCCTTCTCCATCACTTTCCCAGCAGAGGTGAATTTCCTGGCCTATCCATGCCTCGGGGATGATCAGCTCCACCCGGAACCAACAGGTCCACCACCTACAAGACCCATGGTGATGTGCCCAGAGGTAGAAGACCCTCCTGGGTAACTTCTTGATGTATCAGCAGGGGCCTGGGACGCGCTCTGAGTCTGCAGCAAAGTACTCAGCCACAAAAAAGGATCAAGGGATGGGCAAAAGGGGTCAGTAGGGTAAAGGCAATCAGAGGCGCCCCTAGCAGTGTACCAGAAAAAGGACCAGGTGGAAACTTCCAGGAAGCCTGCGGAATCAGAGCCGTGCGGCAGGGGACGCTGCGCCGCACGGGCGGCAGGTCAGGGAAGAGAGCGGGGGCGTGGCTCTGACCGGGTGTTACCTACGTTGGTCCGAAGCGATCGCCGACCTGCGCTGGGCGGAAGTCTTGCTGCACAGCGTCCTGGTAGCGCAGCCGCTCGGGCGTCAGGAAGCTGGAGAGCGCGGCCACAGGGTGCCGTTGCCCGAAGAGCCTGGCAGGAGGGCGGGATGTGTTTCCATAAGCCCCGCCGCTCCGCCATTCGCGTCTCTCTGGATTTGTTCCCGTCCCCGCTTGCACCTGCCCCGGAGGTTGCAATCAGTGAAGTAGAGGGGTGACACGAACTTCTCCACCCGCTCCAGCGCCGTGCGCCAGTGCTTCAAGGCCGGTACTGCCGCTGCCATTGCCACGTGTCCACGGCTCTGCCGGACGGCTGTATGCTGCTGAGACCGAGAATCAAAGGTTCCGGCGTCCGCCTGCCTGTCCCGACCCGGGCTGCTTTTCTTGCAACAATGGCGGCTTTTGGAAGCCCTTATTGGGCTGGGCCGAGTTGGAAACTACAACTTGCACTGTTGGGCTCTCCTGTTTCATCCATGCAGGTAGGCCGGAAGTGAATCCCTAAATGAAAGTGTGACGAGGGCCCGGTATCGGACCTGCGCCAATTATTAGGTCTGAGGGTCCCGACGGCAGTGAATTCATTCTCTCCAGGTCTGGCCAGAGCCCTGATTTAGCCTAGTAGCGCACACAGCCAGGCTGTTAGGGTGGGGGTTTCTATGCTATGGGCAGCAGTGTGCAAGGACAGAAGAGACTGCACCCCGTGGCCTTTCCTGTCAAAAGGCTTTACTTGGGGCTAGGGATTTAGCTCAGCGGCATAAGCGCCTGCCTTGCAAGCAGGCAGTCGTGAGTTCGATCCCCAGTACCGATTAAAAAAAAAAAAAAAAAAGGCTTTCCTTCAGTTCCACTGGTTTCTAGCGCTTTGCTAAGCCATAAATCCAGTGAACTAAAGCAGGTCACTGCGGAGGACTGCACAGCCCAGGACCCAGCCCTGCAATTCCATTCGCATCTCTACGACTGGTGTTTTCTCGAGGTAGCCAGTTTTGTTTATAAAAGCACCAGGAAAAAAAATATATACCTTAAGGTGATGAGGGACAGAATGCCAACTGTGGCTTAAAGAGCTTTTAGCTCTGTACAGAAACGAAACAGGTTGGCCATGGAGAATGGAGGTCTGAGGCCAGATAACAAGCAAACTTTTGCTGCATGTGAAGGTCTCCAGCCTGTCGCCTGCATTGGTAGGTTGGGGTTTTCTCCCGAGCTGGCCTTCAGATTCTGTCCTGACTTCTAGAACACTGGAGGGTCCTGCTCCTTCAGTTCCTCATGCAGGTCCAACTCTGCTAATTTTCCTCCAAGGAGCAGAGAGGGATGGGCTGTTGAAGATAGCCTCAAGGTCTCTCCCAGTGCAGTACACATCATGTCTACTTGCCTGGAATCCTCTTTGCCCACAAGTTTTGTGCCACCCTGCACTAAATTTAGGTTTAATCTCTTGTGCCCCTGCAACTAAAATGCCTAAAAACAGGCCTGCTTGTTTTAAAAAACTAGGAACCAAAGAATTCGTTTGTCTTTATGTAGTACTGATGATTTTACATTAAAAAGCAAACAAAAACAATTGCGGTTACAACTGTAAGTAGTGTGATGGTTGGAGAAAAATCACCCCATTACTAAAGGGCCAGGCTAACTGTATGAAAGTCCTGATCACTCATGTTTTAAATGTATGCTAGTTTAGAGCCTGGTGTGCTGATGCATGCCGAAGTCCCACCACTCAACACTCAAGGGGAGGCAGGAAGATCACCTGAGTTCCAGGCTAACCACATGTTTTTTTTTCTTTTTGGATACCAAGGGTCAAACTCACAACCTTGAGACTGCAAGGCTTACAACCAATGAGATAAATCCCCAGCTCCTCTACCCACATCTTTACCTTACAATTTACATACAACTTTCAAGTACTCGTTTGGTATTTTAAGTATTAATCTCATTCCTAGTATGAGAAAAATACAGATCAAAATACCTCGCTTAACAACTTACCCAAATATGAAATATTTTCACATAATTGCAGAGGTGGCAAACTGCATTAAAAGAACAAAATGGAAAAAACCCAAAACAATGAAGTAGACTATTTTAAAATTTTGAGACACTGTGATTTAGGACAGGTGCAAATAACTAATACTTCTTAAATCAAAATCTTGTTTGTGCCCTGGAGAAGGAACTGAAGCCACAACTTCCACCTTTTTTTTTCTTTTTCGTTTTTATTGGTACCAGGGATCGAACTCACGACTGCCTGCTTGCAAGGCAGGTGCTTATGCCGCTGAGCTAAATCCCCAGCCCCTAACTTCCACCTTCTTAACAGCTTTCGGATGAGGTCAAGGGACTTGGGTTGAGAAATTTGTTCCTTAAGAAAGAGCCAAGCTTTATTTACAAAAAAAAAAAAAAAAAAAAAAAAAAAAAGGGGAAAAAGATGTTGGGGCAAAGGGGATGACAAATTTTACAGAAAAGTACTACAATGTAACGCCCTTTGGTAAAAAGTGTAATAAATGTCTTATACATCTCTTCATAGGTACTAAATCTGAAGCCACATGGTATGGTACACAAGAAGTTAGAGCAGTTACGCTAACACATCAAAGCATATTTCTTTTAATAAAAAATTGACAGTATGTACATTACTTACAAAAAAAAAAGTTAAAATTGTGTGTGTGCGTGCACGTGTGTCAGAGTAAAGCTGGTGGATGGCATTAAGGAGACTAGTAAAGAAGCAGGTACAAAACAGTTCCACAGGAGCTAAAAAGGATGACTGATTTGAACTTCTTGAGGTTGAGAACCAGAGGAGAGAAGGGATGAGCAGCAAGGGATTCATCAGGAATCAGATCCACAAGATGATAAATCCCAAAGCCAACTGCAGGTCCCACGTAAAACCTAATGGGTGATCTTAGATGTGCTCAAGTGACCAGGGGATGAGGGTGGGGTGGAGAAGATCAAATAAATCCAGTCTCTTTTCCCTTGGTGGGAAGAGGGAGGAGCCGTGGTCATCCCCGTTATAATCCATCTGACCAAGTCCTTCCCCAGTCTGTTTTGTAAGTGCACCTCCATCCAGTTGAAGCACAAATAGCACTGGTTCCTCCGTCACAGGTCAGGCCACTGGTGACACGAGTCTTAGCTCTGCTGGTGTGGCAAGCAACTGCATGTCTCTGTGCTTGCATGGGCTTCCTTCTCCTGCATGGAGGGTCAGTAGCTGACATCCTTGGAGAAGTGCCAACTCCGGCTTTGCAAGATGTCCACCTTCCTTAGGTGTATACACACCTGGTGACAAGTTGCACCAGTGGCCATCCATGTCCCAGGGAGGTTGGAAAGGGCTTCTTCCTTGCTTCTTCAGGGTGTGTGAGTGCACGTGCCCGCCCACACACAGACACACAGACACACAGACACACACACCCCTCCTCAAGTTACTGTTCTTGCTTTGCAGTTAAGGAGCCTTGAATACTGTGCCGTATTTGACACGATACTTGTTAATGCTTACAAAGTGCAGGGTCTCTGTGTCACAGGTGGTGGTACAGGGCACCAGGCCCTCCAGCCCCTCACCCATGAGCCACTTGCTGGTCTCCGCTGCCATTTCACGGGGCACATGCTCCTTGGTCCATTTATCTACCCAGGCCTGGAACCTCTGATGCAGACGCTTGCTAACACGTTCATGGGACTACAAAACAGAAAAGGGGGAAATTAAGTAGCATTTAAAACCCTCTTCAAACACAAAGTTCAATTTTGGTCAAAAATGGTAGAAGAAAAGATGTGGGTTTGGGCTGAGGAGATATCACAGCAGCAGAGTGCCTGTCTGGCAAGTATGAGGCCCTGAGTTCAATTCTTAACCATAAAAAAAGAAAAAGAAAAAATGTGGGCTCAACTTGGAGGCTATTACTGGTTAAAAAAAACCAAAAAACAAAAAAAAAAAAAAAAAAAAAAAAAAAAAGAAAGAAAAGAAAAGAAACAAAAAGAAAAAGCAACCAGCTCCACTGTTTAACATGCTAGCTCAGATTCACCACACAACCACACAACCAAAGCAGCATTTTAAACAGCAAGTTAGCTGATCTGAACATGCATGAGATGAATATAAGCTACAGCTGCTGGTTACTCACTTAGCTTAGCACTGCAAGTAGCAGCTCACTTCCAAGCCAGCACACAGCAAAGTGTTAAACCTTACCCTCCCTGTGCCATCATGACTCACTGTATAGCACAGCGCAGGCGCAGGAATGAAGGGCAGTTCCCAGTTATGCACCGGGTAAATATTTAGTGCTGCCCACTTGCAAGACATAGGAGACACAAACAGTTACCCAGTCCCCTGAGGACCGTAACACAACAGCCACTGGGAGCTGAGAATCACACTAAACCCCAACTTCTACCTTGAAGGTTCAGCCTTAATCAGTTCAAGACAAAGTGCTTGATATACCATGTAGGAACTCCTTTCTATTAACAGTTGTACTCCAATCTTTTCAATGATTTAAGAACAAAAAACCAAATGAACCAGGCAGCATATCCTTGTTTCCTTCATGTAAACCCACACCACACCTTGTCCACTCTTATTTCCATGCTTGACCTATAATCTAACTCTTTAGATTCCATGCCAACCTCATATTCTGGATGCTACCATATCCCATTTGGACCAAGACTTCAGAGGGGTCTCTGCCCTTCTAGCTTTATGCTCTCCCCATTCTTTTCATGACAGTGGAGCCATATCTGTAAAAAATGTTCCAATACACTCTGTAAACAAAATCCGCATCATGGTTTATGAGACAAAAGCCTCCTAAGTACATGTATCCTACTTTCTCTATGGCTTTACACTTAGGCCATATGGGCTCCACGTCACTGCTTAGGCTTCAAGTATCACTTGTTTGGAGAAGCTGCCACTGATGAAGGCAAGGCCTGCACACCAATTACCTTCGTCTCTTCTCCTGGCTGGTTGGTTTCCCTGAAATAGCACATCACACACCTCTCTGCCATACTTAATATGGCTGTATCCCAGGGCCAGGGAAAATACCCACTATGTAAATGTAACAGAAGGTGTTACCCTTCAGACAGGAGGCAAAAACAGGAAAAATTCGTAGAAGAAAAATGTCAGGTACCACTTAATGACAGGGAGTAGCCTTATCAGAGGTACCATTGGTTATTTCCTGCTCTTAAAGTGTTAGAGGATGCAGTGCCACATTCCCAAGTGGAAATCCTAACTTCAACATAGCAGAATATGACTTTTGTGGACACAGACATGCAGAGGGAGAAATACCGCATGAGGATTCAAAACACCAAGGCCTACCAGCCAAGAACCAGAAGCTGTTTTCCCTGACTGCCCTCAGAAGGATTCAACCCTGCTGACACACTAGTACTAGACTCCTATCTTCCAGAACTTAAAAATAGCCACTACAGCACTGTTACAAAATCCTTAGCAAATAAATTCACCTCATTATCCAACAATTCTTATTTCCAAGAAGAGGATTTTTTATTTTAAAGACAGGGTTTCACTATGTAGTTTAGGTTTACCCCAAATTTAAGCCAATCCTCCTTACTTTGCGTCTTCAGTGCTGGTATCATGTGGATGTGATACCACACTCAGCAAAAAGAGGAATTTACAAGGGAAGAGAAATAATCCAAAATCTCTGGGTCTGCCTGGCAGGGAAGCAGACAGGGAAATTCCTGTGACTGGTTCTTACCTGATGAGCCCGGAGCAAGGCGGTCCTCCGATACATGTAGTCCTCTGACTTGATCACATAGACCATCTTATAGGAATTCAGTTTGAATCTGCACTCCAGCTTATCCAGGCTGTCTACACTCTCCATGGTCTTCTTACTGTTTCCTTCTTTCCCTTCTTTTTCCTGCTGTTCTCGACCACGCTGACACTTCCGGATCCGTCGTAGATTCCTACAAAAGAGAAGTTCTCAGGCTAACAGTCTGTCTAGATGAGATAACTGGAACTCTTACAGGAGTTTTCATTATCCTTTCAGAGCACCTATTGTTTATGTATTTTGTGGTACTGGGGACTGAACCTGAGGCTTTTCCACTGAGCTGTATCCCCAGAGCTTTATTGTTTTTAAATACATTTTGAGACAGATTCTTACTAACTTGCCTAGCCTGTGCTCCAACTTGCAATTTCCCTAGAATGCTGAGATTATAGGCATGGGCCTCTATACTCAGCTCAAAATTTTAGTTACAGGACTACATATAAACATTCAGTAATTTTATAATAAAAAAAGATTTAAACTGCAAAGACACAATCTTCAACCATCTTTACTCCAGTTCTCCAATAATGGCAGTGGACTTCTAGGTTTCTACCTGTGGATTACCCACTACATTCTGCTTTGGGACTTGATTTTTTTTTTTTTTTGTCTTTTGTCTTTTTGAGCCAGGGTCTCTTGAGTTCACTTTGTAGTGCAGGTTGGCCTCAAACTTGCAACCATCCTCCTGCCTCAGCCTCCCAAGTGCTGGGATTACAGGTGTGCAGTGCCACGCCTAGCTCTAGAATTCAATTTTTTTCATGACACAATAGGATCATATTCAGTATTTTATTCTCAACCTTCTACTATCATCATTTTAAAAAATTCTCTACATTTATTTCCTTTTAACAGCTGCAGAGCAACATGCTCTAAATAGTTACATTTCTAAACAGCCTCTCTCAATTGAGGTTCTTCATCTAAATCATGTAACAGAAAAATTATCTGAAAGCACATTTTTCAAATTCTCCCAAAGTGTCTAACTTTTGTCATGCTCTATACACAGGAAAAGAAAGTAATTCATATCAATGGATACAGGACAGGAGAGCGTGGCATTTGGAGCCTTATTCTCTGCAACAAGAAAGGTTATCAGCTACACAATTATATTGCTTCTCATCCTTTGCAACTGAAACTATTACTTCGGCAAGTATCCCTACATACATGATTTCTGTATAATTGCAATTCTTAGGTCCAAGGGCCTTTAGAGAGATTCAAGTCTATTCCAAGAAGGTCCATGAAATAAACCTGTTTTCATAATAATACTAAAACTTCTGGACTGGGGCTATAACTCAGTGGCAAGCACAAGGTCCTGAGTTCGATTCCTGATAGAAAACAAAAATCTTATTTGCATTTTTCACCATGCTGAGATTTGCACTGGGAGTGCAAATAAAGGTGAAAAACATGCTGATTTGGGCAACAGGCTCTTCTCAGAAATGTTTGTATTCTTCCCTACATGCTGGCACTCAAATGAAAAAGCCATTTTAGGTTAAGGAGGTCCTTGATTAAAGAGTACCATTTTAACTGAAATCCTGCTACTCTTTGGTTTTCTTGGAGATTGAACTCACAACCTCATGTTTGCCAGGCAGGCATCTGTGCTGCTGAGCTACATTCTCAGCCTATGGTTTTCATATTTTTAATATGCTGTGTGATAAAATGGAAACTGTACATAAAGCACCTTGTGTACTACAGTACAATGAGATTCATGAAGACAAATGCCTGAGTTGCAAATGAATCATTTTTTCCTGAAACAGCAATAAACTTAGTCACCTTGGGTACTTGGCATTCTCAGAAAAGGAACAAAGGAGCCTGTCACTTCAAAGAAAACAACCAAATGTATTTATTGCCAATGACAGGGTTTAAACTTTGCAATTCAGTTGCATTTTGGTAAAAAAGTGATGGCAATCACCCTAAGCCTACCAGCTAGTTCCCTTTTTATCGGTACCAGGGATCGAACTCACAACTGCCTGCTTGCAAGGCAGGCACTTATGCCGCTGAGCTAAGTCCCCAGCCCCTAGCTAGTTCCCTTATACTAAAAGATGTGCCTGATGAGATCAGTGGCAGTATTTGTCAGTGTGGTTAGGAGAGGGTAAGTGTAAAACATGTAACCAGCAGGCCAGGGATTTAGCTCAGTGGCGTAAGTGCCTGCCTGGCAAACACGAGGTTGCAAGTTTGATCCCCAGTACCAACAAAACACCCCAACATGTAACCTGCATACTGTGCATAACTTAGTAAGCCAGTAACTTCCAAATAGCCAATCATGAATGAAAAAAATGATTCAAAAGCATAAGATAAACCAATTTCCACCTGACCACACAATAAGCTTACTGATTTGTGTTAACACTGCAACTAACCTTTAAGAAACAACCTTTGTAGTTTTGTTAAGAGACATTTTTAGTTGCTTAAGGGATAGGAAATTACTCCTTTTTCCAGCTAGATTTTCTCCACTTATTTCAACCATAATCTAGCTAACCGATACAAGGACTAGCTGTTGCATTAAGCCAAACACTATAAACAAAAGTGCAAAATGGAGAATAATGTCACCTATCACTGATTTTTTTGTTTTGGATTAGTTTTCCATTAAAAAGTATTTATGAAAACATAGTTTAGTGTTGTTCTCAGTTGTGATTTCTAACATGCCATGTATTACCAGGATAATGTCCATAAACAAAAGTGCTTTGGGATACTTAAGTCCTAAGAATGTGAAACTTGAAGGCCAGAAAGACTAAATGTTAGTTGTAAAACAGACAAATCACTGGAAAACTGTGAACTAAAGATCGGACTCTTGGATCTGTCCTGATTTTGTATGTAAGATGATAGAGTTGAGCTGATCCATTTATATTTACAATATATGAGTTTTAAATAACAAACTGTTTTTTCATTGCTTTCAATTTTACATTTAGCTCATATAAGAAAAAAAAAAATATATAAAAACAACAACCCCGCTTTCCAAACCCTCAGTATTAGTCTGAAGTTCATAACAGTTAAAAGACGTTGGGCACAATTAATTCTAATACTTGCTTAAATTGAAGTGTCACCTGGTTAGTTCTTAAATTTCAGTAGAAAACTTTTCACTACTAAACAAATTCCATTCAAATACTGACTTCAGATGGTACCATGAACTAGTAAGTATAGGTTAACATAGCTAGTTTGAATTAACTTATTTTTATTTGTTGGCAGGGTGTGGGAACCAAGACCAATCAAGATAATGCGTGACCAGTCTGCACCATTTGTTAACTGAATGTATTAAGTGGTGGCTTCTGGACCCCTGATCAGTTGACTACATCATTCACTATAAATTGTTCAGCTATAGCCAATTTTTCAATCCTGAAATGTTTTAAATGATAGTTGTCTGAACTTAGCAGTTGTTTGCACGTGTCTTTGCACGTGTGTGACACTAAAATGAATGAACAACTTGCTTTGCATTGTGAGGCATAGGTGAAGTTGGAGTCCAATTTTAGGATTCTCCTTTTTTTTTTTAAAACAACATCTTTTTGAGACAGAGCCTCACTATGCAGTTCAGGCTGGCCTTGAGCTCTTTTTGTAGCCCAGGCTGGTCTCAAATATACAAGGATTCTCCTGGCTCTGCCTCCAGGCATGTACCTCCATATTCAGCAATTAGGAGTCTACTTTCAAGTAGCTGAGTAATGTGAAAATTAACATCTATTGGCTCAGATTCCATTTCCAAAGCTGACTAAAGGGAAATGGTTTTTAGTAGAAAGGATTTCAAAGTCTCCTAAAGCTGAATATTGCACAAGTGTTAAATGATTAAAAATATAACTCTCTTTATGTTAGTAGGACAAAGAAAGGGAAGGAGGGAGAAAAGCAAAGGGCTGAGAGGGAAAGGAGAAGGGAGAAAGGTACCAAATTTCTGAGGTCAAAGTTTTGTACATTTCCATGTCCTACCCCCATATACTCTACCACACAGAATAATAAATCTATTAGTCTTTATGACTGGGAGGAACCTGGCTCATACAATCTGCTAAATGAAACAAGGAACAAATACTGGGCAGGACCCTGTCTGGTTCCATGGTTCCATGATTTTATAAGGACTCAGAATATAGGAAGAACATCTTTTTAGATTGTAACAGATGAAATTTCAATTCTAAACTTTTGGAAGAAAGTCATCCTACCTATTTCTACGTTTGAAACTGTTTTCATACTCAGAGGACAAGCATTATAATTTGTCTGTTTATAGATAGAGACATTTAAAATTCTATATAGAACAGAGTTACCATAGCAGCCTTAAGACTACTGGCTTTTAAAAGTCCTGCTTGGAAGTCTGGCCCTGGGTTGCAGCGTGGGATCTTTGATTTTGAGGGACTTTCCACCATTCCTAAAATCATGTAAGTGACTCATTATACTAAATCGTTTATACAAACTATCCATTTATAAAAACCTACTTTTCTTCTAAGAGTCTAGAATTTGGGTTCATGCCAGAAAGAGGTTGCCTACAGATTAACAGTCAATAAAAACCCCAGATATTGCATCTCTGAGCGAACTTCCCTGGTATATAGTATTTTCACACGTCTCTTGTGACTCCAAAGGGAGAGGACTCTGCCACAGGCATCTTTTCCCTTTGCTGATTTGCTTTTAATTCCTTCTTGCAGTAAATCCTCATTACAAGTATGATCAAGTGCTGAGTCTTGCTAATTCCCTCAGTGAATCACCGAGCTTGGAGACTGTACCATGACCACCCAGTGCAGCCAAATTTGACAACTCTCCCCTCCCTGACATGGAGGCATGGACACCCCACGAAGTAGAGGTTGTAATAGCCACACAAATCTCGAATCCAGCATCTTGGCAGGCAAAACAAATGAGTGGAAAACCTGAGAACCAAGAACTTGTGAATCATTGAACCTCCTCAGCCAAATGCAAGTATGTACGGTGCCATGTGACCCAGTGCACTCACCTTGGGAGAAACACTGGTTTCTGAGCCAGATGCTCTCGCAGCTCAGGGGAGGTAGTGTCGGAATTCATGTAGCGCTCCACATAGTCTGACCAGCGCTGGGGTCGGAAACAAAAGCAAAAATGGAAAAGGTGATAAAAACTAAGCAATGCCTCAACATGTACTGTAGTAAACAATAGGATTAAAATGTCTAAAGTCTGTATAAATTTCAAGATCAAATACTTTTCCCCAATGACATGTTTGTTATTGTTATTAAAATATAGATTTTAAATTTCTGTTAACCAGCAGACAGTAAGTTTTGCTGCATGCTTAATTTATCAGAAATGGTAAGTGGGTAGAAACTGGCTCACTGCCAAGTTTTATTTCTCCATGAAAAATCTGGATTTCTGGTATCTCTTAAAGATGAAGAGAGGGAGAAGGAAAAGAAGGAACAACAGGGAGAAGAGTAAAAAGATTTGGCAATAAAAGCCAGTATCTACACCAAATAGGTTTCTTCATCTACACTGCAGCCTGCCCTGGGCTTCCCATTCATGTTACCTACCAGGCAAACCACATTAAATCACAACTGTCTGCTTTGGGCTCAGAACTCCTGTCTTCATTTGACCCCATAAAAAATGAACAAGACATACAGTTAAGATGACAGCACCAAAAATGGCACCTCATTTGTTTCTCACACAAAAAGAAAAAAGACAGGAAAGCTGTCAACCGTAAGACTTCCTCAGATGAGACTGCTAGAAACCCACACCCAAGAAGCCCTTTTCTTTAGTCTATGATATGGCTGAAATAACTTGCCCGTTAGGCCCCTAACTTTTCAAACACGCCTAAGGAGTTAGGTCTTCTGCAAGACAAGGTTCCAGGCAGAATCTCAGGACCTGCTACCAGCTCTGCTCCGCACAAGAAAATAGGAGGACACTTGCTCATACCTCTGCTTCCACAGGGTCATCTGAGTTCTCCTCTTCTGTGTCGAGAAGTTCAATGGTCAGCTGAACCTGGCCTTGGCTCTGAATAAACATAAGCTGCAAATAACAAGACAGAGTATAAAAAACGTCTCCAAAGCTATAACCTAGCTGAACCTTTTGGAGCTTTCAACGACAAGCCATGTCATAGGTTTGCCACCTAGCTTCTCAAGCTGTGGAAGGTAGAGAGGCAATAAAGTTATAAAAGTTTTACTCCAACTGAACAGATCAGAAAGATCCTAAAAAAACTGAGAGATAAAGGCAAAATCCCAACCTTGCTGACAACAAAATGATATATGTACTTCAAGAGTACTTTAAAAAATAAATACTTTTGTTTGGGGGCTGTAGCTTACAGAACACCACCAGCTTGCATAATGGAAGCCCTAGGTTCAGTCCCCAGAACTGCAAAAAGGAAAAGCCAAAAAACCACTTAATTTTATTGTTTATTAGAATGCACTTTAGAATATAAACACCCTTCCAATTGATAATCCTATTTCTAGGAATTAATATAGTCAATATTTAAATAAGCCTAGTATTTTTAAACTAGTTGTTACATGCTAATGATATCAAATATAAAAGTTCTTGGAAAGTATCAATTGTATTTCATTTCATTTCATTTTTGGTACCCAAAACTGGACTCAGGACCTTGTGCTTATCAGGAAGGTGCTGCTATGCCACTGAGCTATAACCCTGGCTCCTAGTTCTTGAAATTTTAAATTCCATTATTTGTGCAGTCTTTAAAAAAATTCAACACCAATGGCTGAGAGAAGCAAATACAAGTCATGTTCTAGATAGAGCAATGTAGAATGGACTGGCACACAGCTCTCATCTTCTGAGCCCAAGGACCTTCCATGTCCTGGGAGGCCTGACAGTCTGCTTCATGGAAGACAACTGATAGGGCCACGTGGAGAAGGGCGGGCCTGGAAGGATACCTGAGAATTATCATTTTATCCTTCTTTAGCTGACATGAGGAGAAACAGAAATTCAGAGTATTCTGATTCTGTAAGCCATACCACTGGTTAGAAAGCACGCAGGTTAAAGGTCAAGTCTGGCTGTCAATACTCTTTTTTAGAAGCTTTAAAAATTCCTATCTGTTGGTACCATTTAAAACTTGATGTACATAAGAAGTTCCAGAACAGACTGGGGTGTATCTTCATTTTATGTAATTATAATCTCTGTGCTTATAGGGAATAAGCCCAGGACCTTCCAACTGAGATAAATACTTAACCCTTTTTCATTTTCAGATAGAGTCTGAATCACTAAGTTACTTAGGCTGGGCTCAACCTTGAAATTCTTCTGTGTCAGCTTCCCAAAGTGCTGGAATTACAGACACCTCTTTATAAATAATTATTTTTAAGAATTATAAAACATGCTATCCAGTGTTTACAATATCCTATCAACTAACCAATTCCCATAGTAGGTTGGACACCATGGTTTTTTTCAATTATTTGTTTTCATAATTAGCTAATAGTGAAAGTTTGGAAATAAACTGAATGTCCAACATGACAGGGTTTAATTCCCTATAAAATGAAATATATACAGCCATAAAAAAAGACGCTGAAAAGCCACATGTGGTGACTTGTACCTGTAAATGCCAGCACTTGGGAGGTCGAGGCAGGAGGATCACTGCAAGTATGAGCCCAGCCTAAGTTACACAGTGAGTTCAAAGCCAGTCTGCACTAAACAGTTCTCACAGAACAGAACAGAACAAAATGAAATGAAACGAAACAGAACTAACAAAAAATCACAAGCAAAGTTCAGAACTTTCATCAATGATTATTTCTGGGAAAAATTATCAGTTTAATTTTTTGGGTTACCTGAATATTCTTTAAAACAAAAAACAAAAAACAAAAAAACAATGGCCATAGATTTCATACATAAACACTCTGAAAAGTTTAGAAAGAACCCAAGTAGACTGTGGAAGGCAGCTACTTTCACTAGTATATGCTGTTTGTATTTCCGCTGACGAGCCAATCAGAACTGTCAGGAGTTTTAGGAATGGAACTACCCCATCGAAGTACACAGCTACAATTTTTGCCAGAGCCCTAAGATTCTTTCACCCTCACTAGGAAGGGCCAGTTCTATGTCACAATAAGCAGCTCTCACCTTAAAGCAGTTCTCATCTGACATGAGCTGCTCTGCCTTCCGCTGATACGTGGACTCCAGGAGACTCCTTGAAGTCTGTGTGTTCAGCTGGCCGCCAGTGGCACCATTGTTGTTCTCTGCCAGGTAAAGGTCAGTCACCTGCACACAGATCTCATCACTGACAATGTGCTGCAGCTAAAACCAAGCAAAGGCAAGACGTCAGTGAGCAAGAAAACACTTTTCCTTGTCTTCCAGTCACTCAACTCAAAAAGCAGTGTAATTTTAGAAAATTAATAATACAAAAGCACTGTATTAAAGGCTCGGAAAATAACCACGTCAAGGTCTTCAACCATTATCAGTGGTTCATGAATAAAATTCGCACAACTATTTAAAAGTAAAACCAGGTTTATTTGTCACTTTCCCATCACTGGGACAAAATACCCAATACCCACAACTTAAAGGAGAGGTTTATTTTGGCTCACAGTTTCAGTGGGTTCAGTCCATAGCTGGCTGGCTCCAATGCAGAAACAGCATGGCAGAAGGGCATGGCAGAGGAAAGCTGCTCAACCCATGGCGGCCGGGAAGCAGAGAAAGAGAAGGAAGGAGCCGGGGAATACACCCTCCTAGGCCATAACCCCAGCGATCCACTTCTGGCCAGACCCCCCCCCCAACAGTGCATTCAGCTATGAACTCATCAATAGATGATTCCACTGATAAGTACAGCACCCCCATCATCCACGCCAAAAGCCCCACCTCTAAATGTGAGACTTTTAGGGAACACTTTAGACTTAAATCATAACACCAGGGCTGAAGTATAGCTCAGTAGTAGAGTACTTGCCTAGCATGCTCAAAGTTCTGGATTTGATCACCAGCACCAATAAAGTAAATTCTAAAGATCTTAAAAATTTTTTTCTATGATTTATATTTTATGGCATTTAAAAATGATTTGCAATTTGTCTTCACACCTATTCTGATTTGATCATTATGACTCCCTGGGCACCAGGCCGGAAAAAGAGGATACCCTGTTATGAGACAAAGATACACATTAGGTGAGAAAACTGTGAGCTAAACAAGGAGGTTTACCGAACCACAAAAACAAAACCATGTCTATCTCCTAGCCCTCATGTAAACCCTGAAACTCTAAGTATTTAAGAAATGGTTGAATTAACTGCCAGGAGTATTCAGCTGAAAGAGCAGAGATTAACTCACAGTCATACTTCCTGACCCTCAGCCAGTATTTTTACCAGACACATCATTAATTTTTAAACATTTGATAGCAAGTAGTAGCACTTAAATTGCATATAATATTTTGTGGGTTTTTTTTTTTTTTTGGGGGGGGGGAAGTAACCAGGGATTGAATTCAGGACCTCATACTTGCCAGACAGGAGCTACACCGCTGAGCTGTATCCCTGGCCCTGTGTGTGTGTGTGCTGGAGAGCAAATCTAGGGCCTCACATGTGTTACACATGTACCTTACCAGTAAGGTACATTCCCAGCCCACTTACTCTATTTTGGAATAAAAATTCTCAAATAAAACTCCTATTTTATTTTGAAATTCTCTTAAAACTAAGTCACTCAATTTTTAAGGTAACTTTTTAAAAGGGTGTTAATGATTTTTGAAATATTAAACAATATCAAATGACATTTATGTACGCATTTATAGATAACTGGACACAAGTCAGAAGGGTGCATAATCTGAGGGTAGTAGGAAGGATAGTAACTCCAAATGGTTAAGTAAATTACTATCAGCCTACATGGGATCTGGATATCACCACCAATGTTTATTGTGAGTTGATGATACAGGATACAGTAAACAAGATAGCAAGTTGGGTGAAAACAGCATATCTGAAGTGTGTTTTCCGTCTACAACACAGATTCTTCTCCTGATCTGTATGCTCTTAGTAAAATAGGCTATGCCACTGACTGCCTAGACCAACTGGTCCCACCTTAACTCTTTTCAAAGAGTGGAACAACAAATCCAGAGACAACTATGCAGCAACCCTCCCATTTTGAAGGCTGGTCAGATTCTCTCTGATCGTAAAAGAAAATGACACAGAGGATGTTACTTTTTTTTCCCCCAAGAGAAACATCTGTATGTACTGCCAGGGTCAGAGGAACTGCCCTGACAAGCCACTTATCAGGGGGCTGGGGAAGGCTTAAGTATGTGCTGACTATTCAACGGGGCACAAGGACAAAGCAGATAGACAGCAGGAAAGGATGCAGGAGACCAGGAAGCCCAGTCTAGTCATCATGTGGTACCACTATCCTCTGAGTTCTGTACTTGGTGTCTGTATAGCTGCCTATTGGTATTTATAATAGATTCCTCTCCAGCCAGTCAGGAAAAAGTAAGACAAATATGCACAGCTTGACTGTGAAACAACCAATCATCAGTGAACTCTGGGGGAACACCAACAGCAAATGTGTAAACAGAAACAGTAGCACATGGTAAATGGAGTCAGTATTTTATATAAAATTGGAAGATTAACAGGAATTTCTTTCTTAGAAATTTTGAGCAGAGCTGACTGCATTCATAGGATGATTTTGGTCAGATACCATATGAGATGGTCCAACAGTTTTTTTGGATTTTTAGGAAAAAGTTGACTGCTACATCCCTAAGACTTGAGATCCAGTTAAGAGTACTCTGCTGTAATCTCAGATGGGCAGGCAGGAAGCTTACAAAACCAAGATAAGCTGGGCAGGTAATCTCACCACTTGAGAGGCTGAGGCAGCACAATCACCATGAGTTTAAAGACAGCCTGGGCTCCATAGGCCATCTTGAATTACATAGCGTAACCTTGACTCCAAAGGGGTGGGGGGGACAAAATAAAACAAACAAAGCAAAAATACCAGTGCTTTCCAAAGGATTCAATATTTTATCTCAGGAGATAATTGAATAATCTTTTCCCTTTTACAGCAGCTGTCTGGCCTCTAGAACAAAAATTTGTTTTTTGTTATGTTTTTACTTTATCAAAGCTATGTACTCTCAGATTCTAAGATCAGAACTCAAGGCCAGGGAATAGGTATCACAGGGGTCTGTTTTAAGCTATTTGTTATAAAGACATCATTGTTGTAAAGAACCACATTCTTATAAAACACCCAGGAACAAAACACTTTACCTAACCACAAGCCTCCTCAGAGGGAACCTCATATATGTGAGGTAAGCAAAACATTCTAAGAAATGAAAATTTACATGAAAACCTTTCCTAGTAAAAAGAACTTCAAATTTTCAACGAGCCAAGTACAGACAGGCTAATTAGGTGCCAGTAGGTCAGAATGCTCTCTACAGGTGGTCAGCAAGGTCCAAGGAGGGCTCACCTTACCTCAAGGGGACGCTGAACAGCACAGGAGCTGCTGCAGTGGCTGCAATGACCATTTTGTTAACAGAAGTCACATTGTACCTTAAGCTTCGCCTTTTCCTTCCCCACAGAAATGATGCCTTTGTGTTTTGCCTGAGCCACTGGCACTTAAGGACTTCTGTCACTAACCCTGCCCTCCACCAAGTCCTCACCTGTCTTACAATGCTCTGAATCAGCTTGTCCATGGTGAAGGCAATGTAGGCGTGAATGGTGAACATTTCTCTCAGAGAATCCTCATACTGTGATGAGTCTATGTTGCCATCGAGCAGACTCCGCACCATGTCCAGGAAAGCTGGGTAATAATCTTCCACATCAACGTCCACTGTGGGAAAGATGGGACAGGTGAAGTTTTACCCCAGGAAAAAAAGATCAGGGACAAAGAGCAGGGCAAACCCCAGAGCTGGCCTCTAGGAAGGACATATGCAAGCAGGCTACCACAGACAGAGCTGAAATGTGACAGCTGACAGTCACCAGGCTGTTTATCCCAGGAAAATGGCTCTGCAACTCTGCCCACATAAACAAGAGACCCAACAATACTGCCAGGCTCAGTAAGAGCGCACTGAACACTGGGAGAAGGCGCTTTCAAGTGGAGGTGCTCTCTCAGCCTGCGTAAGCAGATTCCTATAGCACTATTTCAATGAAGTATGGGGTGTAGAGGAAAAGGGCCGGCACAGTTGTATGCTTGCACTGGAGACACTGCTCAGGAACAGGACAGGAGTGCATATTAAATTCTCTATGAATAATGAAGTTATTTGTATTGTCAGAGTCCTTTTGTTTAAAAATGGATGTGCAAAACTACTTCACAAATTGTACTAAATGATCTGTAGTTGTTGCACATAGGGAAGAATCTTATCGATGAAGAGACATCTGGCCTCGAGCAGAGAATATTTAAGGACTGGGGAAATGGGCCTTTTAGCTTACTAAAGACCTATCTATGTGAAGTATGAAAACTAATCTCTAGTGTCGGAAATCAAGATAGTGGCACAAAGAGGTTATGGGGCCTTTCTTGCACAAAGCTGTGTTCACTGGAAAAATTTACTGAATTGTATAATTCTCATTTGTAACTCTTCTAGGTATGTGGTAACTGCAATAAAAACAAAAAAAAATCACAAAAAGGAAACTTCACTGATTAATTTGCTAACTGTTCAGTATTTATGGAGATTGAGTAAAAAAACTGAGTAAAACTGAGGTTTCCATTTATCTGAAATATGATGAAATCATTACACACAGACAAAACAGGACAGTAACTCTTAAATGAATAGCTATCCTGAGTTTCATCACAGAATATCACCTATTTGTGTCCACAGAACAGACAGACACACAGCCTATGAAATATTCAGTGACTCTGAACAATGTCTTTATGCCAGAAAAAAAACCACAGATGTGTGTACACCAGCTCTGGCCAGTGTGAGAGGTAGCAGCACTACTCAGGTAAATGGCAAGCTCACACCAGGTTAAGTCAGTGGTTGAAGCCAGATTAGCTCATTTATGTCTCTAACTTGTTTTTTTCTTTTTAGTCCAGGCTGGCCTCACACTCAAGTGATCCTTAGCTTCATGAGTGCTGCGATTATGGGCATGCATCACCATGCAGTTTGAGAGTTTGTCTAACTTCAACCAAAGCAAAAAGGAATCACTATATTCAGGTTCAAAATTTATTTTTCAGGCTAGGACTAATCAAGAAAAAATCTTTTAGAATTAATTTCCAGTATCATTAACTCTTCAGTTATAAAAAACTCTTCAGTCATAAAAAAACAAAAAAACAGGAAATAAAAGCAACCTGTTAAAAAATAAAACCAAAACACTTCACTCCTCAGATTTGATGGTCCTGCAAGGATCAGAAGAAAGGCTTTTTTTTTTTTTTGAGACAGGGTCTGCTGTGCAGTTCAGGCTGGTCTTGGGCTTACTTTGTAGCCCAGGCTGGTCTCAAACTTGCAAAGATCATCCTGCCTCAGCCTCCCGAGTGCTGGTATTATAGGCATGAGCCACTACACCCGGCTAGAAGAAAGGCCTCTTGTAAAAGATTTTGACTCCCAGCATTAAGTACCTTGCTTATGAACTGAACTGTACTCTACAAACAGGTAGCACAAAATTTCCTGGAGAGGACACAGTGGCTTCCTTAACCTTCCCCTTCCTTTTCTTGAAATCTCTTATCTTTATTCTTAATTTGCATTTTCTGTATGTTGAGTTCAAATCTTCTTCTTAAGACATTTCTACTTAGGAAAAAGCCATAATCCCCATTCTAAAGAGGTCTGCATAAATGGCTCAAAAAATTGTCTGAGGCATGAAGAAGGCATGTATGCTCTCTCTCAGAGTGGAAAGGACTGTTATATTTTAGTCTCTCTGTCCATTGAAAGGCAGTAACTCAGAAATTTGCCACTTGAGCAACTGATTCCCCCCAACTAGTGTGTCCACAGTACCAACCACTGCCTGAGCATCCACGTCCCTAGCACTGCACAGTGTATTTCCTAGTTCCCCCAGCAAGCCCATGAGGTAACAATTAGGTCATGCATTTTACAGTCAAACAGGCTCATTGTGTTTAAGTGACGCTGCACAATCAGAAAGTAGCAGAGCTAAGATTTGAATCCTTACTCATATCCAAGGCAGTCTCCCCCAGGCCCTAGGATCTCTGCCCCACACACACTCCTCACACCCACAGTGTCAGCACTCACTAGGCTCCTTGAGACGAAGCTGGATGGCAGGGCTATCACTCTTGTCTCGCTTTATGCCCAGCACCTCCCGTTCCCATTCTCTCTCTCGATTTTCTTCCTCAATTTGCCTTTCAGCTTGGGAACAAATCCGCAGCAGCCTCAAGCACAGAATCTGGTGCAGTCGCATGAAGATGTACCAGTTGTTATTGACATAGAAGAGATTGTATACTTCATCCATTCCCCTTAATTTCTGAGCTGTTGTGTTACTGAACAGGAGCTTTGACTTAGGGGGGCTGCCCCCAACACCATTGTGCTTCTTGGCTGCCCCTGTGGCTTCATCTACATCCATCTCTTCTTCTTCTTCTTCCTCCACATCTGAGAGGTCGCCCCTCTGAGCAAAGAGCAGATCTGGAATGAAATGATGCATAATCTGCTTGATTTTATACTTGTCCTCCTTCTGAATGCCTGTCTGCCTCTTCACATGATGGATAATCAGAGCAGCAGCATCTTCCAGGATCTGCTTGTCTTCATAGGCCAGTGAGAGGTGTGGGCCAACAGGGACACCAGCATTCTCTTCTGTAGCCTGCTCTTGCCTCTGACAGGAGACACAAAAGTAATCTCTGAATGTTAACAGAAGCAACAAATTCAGACCATACCACAGGACCTTAACTACAGTAGCAGCTTAATCCAAAACATAGGAACTGACTTTAACAATAATATTTGTGGCTGGTCCGATGGCAGTGGGTTATCAGAACTTATTAACATTAGTGTCACTAAAGTTGGTATACCACCCCCCCCACTGCTAAATTTGACTGGCTTAAAAAAAAAAACAACAAAAAAAAACAATATTTGTGCCTCTCTCAGAAACAGCCTGGTACTTTACAGACTGGGTACTTAATAGACACTAATGACATATAATTTTTTTTTAAACTCTGGAATAGTACCTATAGAGGACATGATACAATGTCTGGGGCTGTGGAAGGTGACAAAGTAACAGCATTAACAAAAAGCACTGGGGGAAAAAAATTAAAAAGAACTGGGGGTTGCTACTAAGTTTTTTTAAATCAGTACTGGGAATCGAACTCATGACCACCTGATTGTAAGTGCTTATACCACTGAGCTAAATCCCCAGCCCCTGCTACTAAGTTTTTAAATTGTGGTAGTTGAAACATTCTACACAATTAAAGGACCCATTTTAGGGAATTAGTGGTAGAAGTGGGAAGGACAGTAGGATGTGTAAACTGAAATCGGTGTGAAAAATTAGGAGATTATGAAACTGGATAGGTAGAAAGGTGGTAGGCTGAAGTTTGAAATGGTACAATCAGGAATACAAAATATTGCTGGGTGTAGTGATGCATCCCTGTAATCTCAGCGCTCATGGGGCTGAGGTAGGAGGATTGCTGTGAGTTTGAGATCAGCCTGAGATACATAAAGTTCAAAATCAGTCTGCACTACATAGTGAGACCCTGTCTCAAAAAATAAAACGCCAAAAACCAAAGCAATCAACTCCCCCTCCCAAATGTTATAACAGTCATGAGCAAAAATCAAGAGTATCTTGGAAGGATTCAATTTCCTTTAACAAAGAATTTAAAGGAACTAAAGCTACACTGAGCACAAAGACTGTCGTCTTCACAGATGGAAACTCCCCATACAGCTTACCTCATCATAAATACTTTCAATCTCATTGAGTAAACTCTTGGACCTCAGGACCTTCGTGTCATTCTGTTTAAAATTGATGCCTTGGTGGTCCAGAGATTTCAAGTAGTACTTCTCATTTTGCTCTCGCCACACCTTGTTAAATCCTCTTTGAGCTTCTCGCCATTCTTCTTCTTTCATCTTTAACCTGCCGGGTTGGAAAGGAGGGCAGAAACAAAAACACAGGAGTTCAGAGAGTTTAGAAATGGAAAACATGCCAGGCTCACTGTACTTCAAAAGTCAAAGACATGTACTGTGATGCATGTGGCGATTTTGGCAGCTTCAGATAAACATTATCAGTATTGAACTTGCTATCAAAGAAAAATACTAATTTAAGACTTCTACTTGAGGAGGAAGGGAGAATCTGTCCTGAAGTCAGAAATCTCGTTTAGCAGCTGGTGTAGAGTGCCTGTCTAGCATGGATGAGGGCCTAGGCTCAATCCCAAAGCACCACACACACACACACACACACACACACACACACACTCACTCTCTCTCTCTCTCTCTCTGTTTTCTTTGAAGAAATAAAGAAAGCACTCTTTTTTTTTTGTCTTTTTCATTTTTATAGGTACCGGGGATCGAACTCACGACCACCTGCTTGCAAGGCAGGTGCTTATGCCGCTGAGCTAAATCCCAGCCCCCAGAAAGCACTCTTGAGACATCCATAACTGTTCTTTGAAGAGAGGGTCCTCTTCCTTTGGTCACTGAAAATATATCCATTTCTCTGCTGTGCAACTCTCAGAACATTTGGTATACTAATAATGGCAATACAAAGTCAGAGGAAAAATGGGTAGAAGATCTCGGATTTGGACAGCCTGCAAAGCTCTGATCAGAATCGCTGATGCTCCAGGAGAGGACAGAGAAAATCAAAAGCATCAGCACAAGTAAAGAATAACTTGGTCTCAAAGGCCAGGAAGTGAATGTTGCTGTGGCAGGAAGAGGATGCAGAGATTGTATTAGGTCTGGAGGGCTAACATGGGGTGTGTGTGTGTGTGACTGTATAGCAAGAGTGCCACAGCAGAAATTGACATCAGGGCTTGGCCTTGTCTCTTCTCTCCTGAATAAGATGGGTACAACAGCCCCCCTATATCCAAGTCTGACAGGGAAACTTGTTATTTGAAAGAAGTGGTTTGCTGTTGTTTGTGGTACTAGGATTGAATCTAAGTCGTTTACCTTGAGTTAACTCTCCAGTCCTTTTCAATTTTTATTCTGAGACAGAGTCTCACTAAGTCCCTAAATTGCACGGGCTGGACTCAAACTTTTTTTTTGTTTTTGTGGTACCAGGGATAGAACTCACAACTTTGCACTTGCCAGGCAGGCACTTACATTGCTGAGCTAAATCCCCAGCCCTGGACTCAAACTTTTAATCCTCCTGCCTCTTCCATAGTGCTGGAATTACAGTTACCTGCTCTTATGCCCAGCCAAAAGAGAATGTTCTGATAAACATGGCAAATTAAATCTTTTTAAAAATAATGACAATGTATTAAAAAAAAATAATTTTTTTGTCTTTTTCCTTTTTATTGGTACCAGGGATCGAACTCACGACTGCCTGCTTGCAAGGCCCCAGCCCCACCATGTATTAAATTTTTTAAAAAGGGCCGGGGATTTAGCTCAGCGGCATACGCACCTGCCTTGCAAGTGCGTAGTCGTGAGTTCGATCCCTGGTACCGATAAATGAGTTTTTAAAAAATTTTAAAAAGCATAAAACCAAAAGAAAAATAAAACTCAACTGGCCAGGTGTGGTGGCACACACCTATAGTCCCAGCACTCAGGAAAGGTGAGGCAGGAGACTGCCGTAAGTTTGAGGCCTGCCTAACTGCATGATGAGATCCTGTCTAAAAAACAACAAATTGGGGGCTGGGGATTTAGCTCAGCGGCATAAGCGCCTGCCTTGCAAGCAGGCAGTCGTGGGTTCAATCCCTGGTACCAATAAAAAGGAAAAAGACAAAAAAAAAAAAAAAAAAAAAAAAAAGCAAAACAAAACACCCCCCCCCCAAAAAAACCCCACCAGGGAAATACTCAGCTGAGCACAATAGTACCTGCCTCTTTCAATCTCCTCTACTCAAGAAGCTGAGGCAGGAGGAATACTAAGTGCAAGTCAACCTGGGCAATATAATGAGATCCTGTCACAAATTGTTTTTAAAAAGGGCTAAGGATGGAACTCAACACCACAGCACCTGCCTAGCATGTTTGAGGCCCTAGGTTTATCACCCAACACTGCAAACAAATATAAGAAAATAAGTAAGATGTTAACATCAATCAATACTTAGTGACAGGAACATGGGTTATTTCCTCTGCTGCAGCACCGCACCTGCAGTCCCACCTACTTGGGAGTCCAAGGCCAGCCCAAGAAACACAGCTAGATCTCCTCTCTTCAAAATAATCAAAAATTAAAATCCCCTCAGATGTACACACAAAGCGCTCCATCATAACATCCATGGTTTCTTCTCAAACACTGGTTATACAGAAACTCCACCAGCAGTGCCAGGTGAAGTGCACCAAGCACAGCAGGCACAAGGTTCAGTACCTCTTGAGGACAATCGGCACGGCGATGGAGGGGTTCTTTCGCAGCCCATCAATGATGTCCGCTGCCTTGTCTGCGTATATCCTCTGCAGTGCCTTTCGGTGGATGACTTCCGATGTACCCCCGAGGGTGTTATCCAAGCGGAATTTGGCTTGTTCTTCAGCAGACAAGCGGGAAAGTTTTTTCTGTATTGCTTCTAGAACTCGGATGGTTGCCAAATTGGTCTCTAAAACTACATCAAGCTAAAGACAAGACAAAGAATGGTACTCAGACCCAAACCAAGGGAGAGAGGTAGGCAAGAGAACAAAGGAGAGAATCAAAGTCCCTGGACTGAAGGTCTGGCTCTGCCTCTGCCTCACTGTTGGCCATGTAAGACTCATTCCTGACCAGTGAAATAGGAAGAACAGCATCTACCAGGTTAAGGTTATTTTCTAGGGTGAAATCATATGATCCACAATGTTTAACACAATGCCTAGCAGCCAAAAAATATCCAATAAAGATGGAATAGCAGTTATCTCTCATGTCACCACTAGCACAGTATGTTTTGCTGTGGGCTACTGATAAGGCAGAGGGACTGAACAGGAAGCCATTTCACTGGTGTCTTTCCTTGAGTTTTGCTAAATATCCACAGCTAATTTCAAGCAGTAGTAATCAAAACAATGCCTTGTGATGTATGGTGTTGCATGTATGTAGTTCCAGCACTAAAGAGGTTGAGGTAAAGGTAAGACAACTGTAAGTCTGTGGCCAGCCTGGACTACATAGTAAGACTGTCCTAAAAAACAGAAGAGGAAAATCCAAAAATAAATCTCAAAAAGTGAACCAACTGTAGTTTTGTTGCACTTAGCTACAAATGGTTATTTTAAGAAAAGTTTATTATTTTAAAATTTATTACAATCAAAGTCACTGCCATTAATTCCTCTCAAAATAACACTGTCTGTTATGAACACAGTTATTCTGTCATTCCTGCCACTTTCTGAAGAGTTCTGGAAGTCTTCTTTCTTATAAGGAATGATTACAAATAAGTGAGCACTGCTAGGCAGTGCCATCCAATGGAAAAGTGGCCTCATAAAAACATGATGGTGTGGTCGGGCGTGGTGGCTCACGTCTGTAATCCCAGCACTCCAGAGGCTGAGGCAGGAGGATCGTTATGAGTTTGAGACCATCCTAGGCTACAAAGTGAACTCAAGGCCAGCCTAAACTGCATAGAGATCCTGTCAAAAAGACAAAAACACCCCAACCAAAAAACATGATGGTACATCACTCGTCTGCCTTATTCACAGGCTCTGGCATTGTGTGACTTCCAGCTCCTCCCCAAAGTCAAAATAGCAACGAAAGGTAAACATTTTGAATACATTCAGAATATCCAGGCAACTAAACAGTGGACCTGAAGATATTCATGAAAAAGGACTTCCAGAACTGCTTCAGAGAGCAACAAGCTGCATGCCTGTAATCCCAGGATTATGCGGAGTTTGAGGCCCACCTGGCTCTACACATCCATAGCAAGATCCCAACTCAAAGAAACAAAACAAAAAATAAAAAAAACTTAAAATGCCATTCAAAACCAAATATACTGTTGTTCACTCATTAGTGGATGATTTCAGAGCTAAAGTGGCTTAGGTAAGTTACATTTGCCACATTTTACTAACACTACTTAACAAATCCATAAGGATAGTAAACACTGCAACAAGCCTTTACCCCTGAAGAATGTGAGCCCCTGGTTCTTTAGATGCGAAAAAAAGCCAGAATATACTCTTTCATTCTCCCATTTCCCCACACTTCAATGACAAAGTGGTATGTACCTCAAAACGCTCATCTTCACAACGATAAATATGTTCTTCATACTGAGTCTTCTTTGAACTAACAAATGTGGAGTCCTCAGACCATGATGGGAAGGAAACCCAGGTGTCATTTAAAACCTTTGGGTAGAAACAAAGATTGAAACAAAAGCCTAAAAAAACAGTCAAATAGAGAAGAAAAAAGAAAAAAAGGAAGAAGACAGAGGAGGAGGAGGAAAAAGAGAAGGAGAAGACAACGGTGACAAAACTCTAGGGAGGGGAAGAAACAGGTAGCATGATTTCGTAAATGCCACCTTTAGCAAGTTTATCATAAAATACCAGTGAGCTAAATGTTCTGAATCTAAGCATAAAACAAAAGCTTTTTAACAAGAACAGAAGCTAGGCACAGTGGTACATGCCTATAATCCCAGCCCTCAGGAGGCTGAGGCAGAACTGCTGTGAGTTCAAAGCCAGCCTGCAGTACACAAAAGATTGTCTCAAAACAAAACCCAAAAACACCAAAAACCAAAAACAAGGACAGAGAAGGTTCCTAATTTTGTCATTCATATAAATTTCCTAAACTCAGCATCACTACTTCTGAGAGAATACTGTGGATCCAGCGCTGCTGCTTACCTCTTTACAGAGTGGAGTCCGTCCTGTACACTTGGGCTGCTGGTAACTTTTGGGCAGGGCTCGATAGCTGGAGCCTAACCTTTTACAAGAGGCATAATCTATCTCCATGGCAATGCCCTCTGTAGCTCTTTCCTTTGGAAAGGTTTCCAAATGCACAGACTCCTTATAGCCCAGAAAGTTTTTAAACCAATTAAACAATTCAGGGAATTTCCTGGGGAATCAACCAAAAACTAGTAAGTCATCAGAGATGAATATAGATATCCTGAGGTCTATTTACCATCACTCAGTGCTAGGTCAGAACTAATACCAAGGATATTGTCTAAGTACAGTGATCTCCTACCTAAGAAACAAGGTTTCTACCTAAGAAACAAGGATTCCCTTTTCCTTAAGAGAATGCTCTCAGATCACTAAAGGTGGTAATAGAACAGGTGCACTCAAACTATAGTAGGCAAACATTCTTTAGACTAAGAATATGACTTCAGTGTTCATATAATTCTTAAATTGTCAAATATAGTTAAGATTCTAGAACCCCAGGAGAGACTCCTCTATTAACATCCAGCACTGATCAGAGAAACAGAAGACCACTAGGCTTCAGCTATGAATCAACTGATTCTCCAATACTTTCTGCCTATTTTCTCATCTCTAGAATTAGACTAGTAGATTACTCAGGACTCTAGACACTAACATTTTAATCAACTGACTCACCTTGATTAAATTAGCTTTGCTTAGTACATGCTCTCTCAAATCAATTTCCACCTCACTTCCATCCCAGAAGAACTAGGGGCTCAGCCGCTTGCTTCACTTACCCTAGAAAAGGAGAAACTAGCTGTACAAGTTCAGCCCGAGAGATGACCTCCTGGTTAAAGATAACAAGACAGCGCAGGAAATTCTCATAGGCCTCTGCACTCCGCAGAGCCTTTCGGACCTTACAGAGACAATAGAAAGAAAAATGGTTACATAGCTGGGCATGGTGGCACATGCCTATAATTCTTGAACTTGGGAGACTAAGGCAGGAGGACTGCCTCATCTACCTAGCAAGACTTGGTTTCAACAAATGTTACGTGAGGAATTGAGATCCTAGCTAACTTTTCACAAATTGGGGAAATTTGATCTGCTATTTGATTGATACTTAGTCTCCTAAGATGTGATAATGATTATCTTTGGAAAAGTCATATTAAAAGGAAACTTAAAATACTTATGAAAAAAAATTAAGGACGCCAGGTCTAGTGCATACACCTGTAGGCCCAGTGCTCAGGAGGTTGAGGTGGGAAGATCACTGAGTTGGGGCCAGGCTGGTGAGTTCAAGCCCAACTTGCACTACACAGCAAGACTTTGTGTCAAACAACAAACACAGAAAACTTATGGATAAAATGTTATTTAGGATTTGTTTACAAATAATCTAAGGTGAAAACATAAATGAAACAAGTACATTGATTCAGCTGGGAATAGCTGAAGCTGAATGATAGGCACATAAAAGATCATTTTATAGTTCTCTTTAGCTTTTAAATATGTCTGAAATTTCCCATAATAAAAAATGTAGAAGTGAGATCTTGGATAGCCTTCCTACATGCTTGCTTCTCCACAACACATCAGAACTGCCCAAGCTTTTGCTGCCATTCCTAACATGTGTCTGCAGCAAGAATCATGGTCAATATCAAGAACCTCTGTCAACAATTGTCAAACTAGTTAATCTTGAATGGTGAGCTTTTAAAATAGGGTACTTCTGTCCGTGACCTGACCCTTTTCCTCACTCTGTTTAAAATACTGAACATTTTGCTATCTCAAAACCTAAAAATATTCAGTGGCACAGAAATCAATGAAATCAACTAATCAACATGAATTTCAGTTCAAAAGTGTATAGCACTGAACTATTTCAGTGGACACTGTAGACTACCACTGAACCCTGTGACTTATCAACAAGTCCAGCGATGGACTTTTGTATTCTTTTATAAATAACTACCCATAGGCATTGCATGACATAGGAACTTCACTCTGCAGTTCAGGCTGGCTTTGTGCTCCCTTTGCAGCCCAGGCTGATCTCGAACTCTCAATGACTCTTCTGCCTTCTGCCTTGGTCTCCCAGGTGCTGGGATTACAGGCGTGAGACAAGGAGTTTGTTTTAAATCCCATGTTTGTTGGCTGTTTAATTTTTATTAGTTTTTAAATACTTAAAAGTGTCAGAGTCTAAAACCCTACATACTATCCTAAATTGCGTTTGAATTTTATTTTATTTTTTTGTCTTTCTGAGACAGGGTTTCACTCTACTGGCCTCTATCTCAGCAATTCTCCTGCCTCAGCCTCCTGAGTGTTGGGATTACAGGTCTACCATTGAATTTTAAAACAAACTGCAGATAGTCCATGTATACATACTTATGTATTCACCAAGTTAAGCCGAAAGAGGAGGTCAGATCCACTCAACAAGAGACAAACTAAGATCCTACAACACTTTATACAGCAATAGTCACTCAGATTGCCAAAGTTAGAAACACTTGGAGATTTTTGAAAACATCCCACCAAGTGTCTTTCAGATTTCCCACCAACTCTCTACTGTACATACTTAAGTCCCTCTATGGGGTAAGGAAGGAACTCAGTGACAGAGCATACCCAGCATGCATAAGGACCTATGTTCAATCTCTAGCTGCTCACTCCCCTATGCCACTGTCTGCAATAACTGATGAAGGCATCAGTACTGTTCATTACAAACACATGGATATCTACAACACTGCATGCCAAACAACTTTTTTGAGAGGAACAGAATACATTCTACCATAGAAAATGCTGTATTTTGCCACAAACTACTTCACAAATTTCTTTAATTACAGAACTACTTGTAGGAGACTGAAAGGCCCCACTATCTAAAAAAAGAAAAAGCCAGAGAGCTAGGATTTTAGTTCAGTGGCTGGACACTTGTCAACATGCATGAGGCTCTGGATTCCAGCCTTAGCTCTGGAGAAGACAAAAAACAAATCACTCACCTTATCAAAAAATAATGACTCAGTTCCAACACCATGCTTGCTTGCATCTGCCATGGAAGAATCCTTTAGGCTGAGTAGTTTGGGTTTCTTCTATAAAAGAGGAAAAATACAAATATACAAGATTCAAATGGTTCCAACACTGAAACCACAGCTGATAAATGATCACAGCATTATTGTGCCAAACTTTGAGAATGAACATCCTTCTTTTTTTTTTTTTTAATTGGTACTGGGGATCGAACTCACGACTGCGCACTTGCAAGGCAGGTGCTTATGCCGCTAAGCTAAATCCCCAGCCCCACATCCTTCCTTTTTACGGAAGCTAAAAGTACCTTTATTCAAAATCTACTGCCACCACCTTCTTTTCTTACTGGTTAAAAAGCCCTAGAATTGGGGCTGGGGATTTAGCTCAGCAGCACAACTTGCCTAACAAGTTCGAGCCTGTGAGTTCAATCCCCAGTGGAAGGGAAAAAAAAAAAAAGCCCTAGTATATACTGTCTAGAGTGAACAAAAGGCAAACTTTTAATAACATTTCAATTTAAAAGTTCATAAAGAAAGCATAGTTTATTTTCCTGAAAAAAAGGAGTAATTATCCAAGCACTCTGGAAGGCTGACGCAAGAGAAACACAAGTTCAAGCCCAGTTTGGGCAACCAAGTGAAAACTTCTCTCAAAATAAAAAATTAAAAGGGCTGGAGATAGAGCTCAGTGCTAAGGCCTTGACTTCAATCAACAGTACTACAGGAAAAAAAAAAAAAAAAGGCCAGGCGTGATGGCTCATGCCTGTAATCCCAGCACTCGGGAGGCTGAGGCAGAAGAATCGTTGTGAGTTCGAGACCAGCCTGGGCTACAAAGTGAGCTCAAGGGGGCTGGGGATTTAGCTCAGCAGCACAAGCATCTGCCTTGCAAGCAGGTAGTCGTGAGTTCGATCCCCGGTACTGATAAAAATGAAACACACACACACACACACACACACACACACACACACACACAAAACAAAGTAAGCTCAAGGCCAGTCTGAACTGCATAATGAGACCCTGTCTCAAAAACAAACACTTGTTTAAAAATGAATGAACAGGTCATGATATAGCCTTATCAGGCAAAAATTTAAAGATTCATTTCTTACCATCTGCGAATACTCAAACTATGAGAAGTAAAGCACATTGTTGACCATGGCCATTTCAGAGTGTACTTTCTTAGGAGCACTGCTTATCCTGCCTAGGGAAAGCATGTGGGAAATTCTAAGTTCCAACATACTGTTTCTACCTGTGGGCTATCAACTGCAGGAGGAAATAACAGAGCTTATCTTCTGAGCCGATTTCTGCTGCCCACTTTACCAAAGAAACCTTTACAAACACTTAAAAAACAAGAGTCTTTCTAAAATACAGGCAATACCTAGTATGTTAGTCCTTTGCTTTGAATCATTCACTTATTCCCAAGTCCTCTCTTACTGTAAGAAGTTCCACTAGACTTAATTCTTTAATTCAATTCTGTAAACATTTCCCTCCCCTCTCTCATATTTTGTAATGTTTTACAATTTCCAGACAACTTCACTGTGTAATATACTTAGTCCTCTCCCCATGACAGCTGCATGGCATTAAAGGGAGAAAAGCTAGTACTTTGGTGCTGATTGAAACAAGCAGCAGCATGATGGGTCACTTGTTAGGGGTTTCAGATCTCTCTGCTATAGCTCAAGGGTCCCAACATGGAGATTCCCATGACAGATAAAATGTGGAACCCATCAGAGAACCTTGAGCAGGAGAGCCCTCAACAGAGCTCTCACAAAGCAGCTGCACTAGATTCACAAGAGGGCTCCACACATCACTCACATATTTCTCAAATAATTACCAAGTTCACGAATCTTCTTTTTTAGCAGTAGGCAGGTCTAAAACATCAAATGCGAAAGAAAGTTCCAGAAAGTCTTGGAAACAAACAAACAAACAAACAAACGGAATGACAGTTCAAAAAGAAAGATAATACAGAGGGGAAAAACTCAGAAAAGCATAATAATTCAAAACAATAGATGCTAATCTAACACTTTTACAAAGCCAGCTAAGAAGCTGTGTATATGGAGTTTCTGTGACCTATGCCAGCAATACTCAGTACTGACTGTCACACTGCTGTGCATTCACATAGGACCACTCTGGCATACCTGTCCACACAGGACTCTTTCGGAACCCAGCTGTGGGTGTGGGTTCCTGCCACACTTACCTTCACTGGAGGGGTGGTTCCCGTCCCAGAGTGCCTGCGGATCTGGCAGCCGTTCTGGCTGGGTCTCTGCGGTTTGTTGTTCAGCTGTGGTTTCTTCACAGTGCCTCCATGATCATTTCTCACAGAATCAACCTTCTCCGCAGTTGTTTTGCTTAAAAGCTGATTAAGACACATGAGATTAATGCTCTGATCAAAGCAACTAAGAATCACCTATGAAAGTTACCTTCTGATCACAGCTTTTTAACTTGTCGAATACATAATCTTGAATAGTATAATTTTTCTAAATGACGCTTACCACAGAACTGTTGGCATCTGGCAGGAATTGTCCGAACTCTGACAATAGATCTTCCTGGTTTTTAAAGAGGCGAGCCACCTGGGCATATACCTCCTGCTCAGTCAAAGCGGGGGTGTAGTTTCCTCCAGCTTCCTTGGCATTTCGCTGCTCTTTCTGAGGAATTACAAGTGGGAAGAGGTCATTATTTGTGGTCTCCTGTTATGTATTACACACTACTGAACATTTCTGGGAGTCTGAGACTTAAGTATTATATTGTCTACTTAGGCGGCACAAAAGAAAGTCTATGTCCTTAGTAACTACTTTGACTGCAGGCTTTTCTTTTCTTTTTTTTTGTCTTTTTCCTTTTTATAGGTATCGGGGATCGAACTCACGACTGCCTGCTTGCAAGGCAGGCGCTAATGCCACTGAGCTAAATCCCCAGCCCCAACTGCAGGCTTTTCAAATTAAGGAAGATGATGCTAGTCAATTACTTCTTTTTAAAATTAGGCACCAGATCGACCTTGTAAAGAGGTCATAATTACTAAACGACAACATGACTTCTATCTGAGACCCACTAGATCAGCTCTCTGGAGAAGGCCCCTGACTGCAGTTTCCCCTACACTGACTCTTCTCAGTTTGAAGGAGCTAGATAGAAACTATGCCTCTTTTCTCCTAACTGCAGTCAGGGGTACCTCTTCTTAAAGTAAGGAATACTACAGACAGCTAAATTAGGGAGAAATATATTAGGCAGTCAGACAGGGTTGGGTGCATGAAGATTCAGTGCAGAAGATGAGAATACATCAGGCCTGTGGCTGGAAGTGCAAGTGAAGATTAAAGTCACAGGCTAGTTTTACCTTCTTCCCTAATGAAGAAGGCTAAAGGCTTGGGATTATTGGCTTCACCCTTAAGATTTTCCATTATCTCCCACCCATTAAGCCTAAAACTATTGACCAAGGTTTATTATGCCATTGGCATGCTTTTGCTACCAATGGATCATTAGCTAAACAACTATACTTGCAATCTTGTTGGTTAATCTTAATCCTGACTCATGTTTTTAATCATAAAACTTCCTTCATGGTGGGTTCATTGTCAACCCATTTGGGACCACTGTCTCTCATGAGCTATCCCATTCCCTATTCCTTTTCTCCAATAAATTTTTCTACTCTTAAAAAAATAAGGGCAGTAAATGTGAATGGCCAGCATGCCACTAACTTGATAAAGCACAAAACACTAGAAAACGTTTTCCTTCCTTTACTGTAGATTAACCAAACTACACAAAATATATACTCTCAACTTCCAGATAAAATAAAACAGGCATTTGTTTCATAGGCCAATGAGTTTAAAATCCCAACTGGATGCTACAGGGCAAATAAAACTGTTCATAAACAGGAATCACAGTTTCTAACTGATTAATACCCAATGAGAATCAGTAGGGATAATAAGGGCTTTTCAGGTTCTTAGACTACCTGCCTCAGAGGGTGGCCTGGTTGAAAGAGACTGAAGGGGCAACTATCTTACCTGATAGGTGTGTAAAATCTCCAGGAATGCTTTGTAGATGTCTGGCTGGCCCTGGAATCTATTCTTGATCTTATTAACATAGTTGATGGCATGATTAAACTCCACAGGCTGATTGTTCTGCAAGGATGGGGCCGTTCCCAACGAGATTGTCACTGGTGTATGAGGCTGGACCGGTGGAGACCGTGGGGATGCATATGGTGGGACAGGGGGAGTCTGCTGACTGGCTGGAGTATGTGCTTGTAGTTGGGAAGGCTAAAAAGAAAAAAGTCTTTATTCTCCTCAGGAGCACAGAGAAAGTTAAGTTCCAACTAAAAAGAAATGATGTATTTGATTAATATCCTTTTTTTTAAAATTCAGGACAAGCCATTTTAGGCCTACTCTAATCATACTGGACATGGGGGGGGAGCTGTTGAGGGGCTCACACATTCTGATATAAGTATCTCAGTATCAAAATTTCTAAATACAACCTTTAAATTGGAGCCACCTTCAATTACAGGAAAGTGTTTTCATGTGCAATTTTTATTAGCTCAAGGGGTATATACAGAAAAAACCTCATCCTATACAGATGTTTAATGACAAAGACAACACCTCAATTGTTGAAATAACTTCTCATAAAGATGTCTTCTACACCAGCTCTGTCCAGCACAACTCTTATCATGATGGGAATGTTCTTTATTTGCACCATCTTGTATAACATCCTCTACCACATGTGTTTACTGAATACCTGAAATGTGGCTAGAGCAATTGTATGTGTCTGAATTACGTTTAGATAGTGTCATTATGTATCTATATATATTATATATATAACATATATATTATATATTATATTATATATTATATATTATATATTATAGTTGGGTTCAGGATCTAGAACACGCCATTAGCCAGGTGTGGCTGAGCATGTCAGCTTCTCAGAAGGCTAAGGCTTGCTTGGTTGGCAAGTTCAAGGCTAGCCCAGGTAACCTGTTGTGATACTGTTTCAAAATTTAATTTAAAATGAGCCGGGGATGTAGCTCAATGGCAGAGTATCCCTGGTTCTTGAGTACTACAACCAGTCAACCAAATTTAAAAATAAAAAGAGCTGTTATAATTCAGTGGTAGGGGTCAGGGGTATAGCTCAATGGCACTGAGGCTGTCTGGCAAGTATGAGAGCCTGTTTGACTCCTGGTACCAACAAAACAAAACAACCAGTGGTAGAGAATTTCTGGGTTTAATCCTCAGTACTATAAAAACCAAAACCAAAACCAAAACCTTACCATCAACATCTTATTAACCTGATGACTTAATCTGGTCAAGGAATAACTACTGTAAAATACTGGCTATGAAGACCTAATCTGCCTATGATAAGATTTTTGAACTCTTATTTTTTTGGTACTGGGAATTGAACTTACGACTTTGTGCTTGCCAGGCAGGCACTTATGATGCTGAGTAAATCCATGGCCCTAAGGGGACCTTTTTTTTGGAGACAGGGTCTCGCTATGCAGTTAAGGCTGGCCTTGATCTCATTTTGTAGCCCAGGCTGGCGTGATCTACCACGCCCAGCTCAAGGTGACCATTTTTGAGTAAGATGTAGTGCCTATGCCTATAGTTCCAGCTACCTGAGAGGCTTAGGTGGGAGTATCACTTAAGCCTGAGGGTTTCAAACTAACCTCAAAATCTCATCTCAAACAAAAAAAAGACCATTTCTACTTGTGGGGTTAAAGTATTCTGGGTTTTAAAAGAGAAGCTGGGGACAGATTGTCAACTGATACAGATGGATTCATTTTTTTGAGATACATTTTCACTACACAGATTTGAGTTGGTTTTCAATTCACCATGAAGCCTAGGCTGACCCGAACTCCCAGTAATTCTCCTGCCACAGCCTTATAGATATGCACCACCATACCCAGCCTGTTAATTCTAAATAGGTATCTAAATCTGTGGTGTGTAAACATGAACCATGTGACAGTGAGGTGAGGACTGCATCTTCTCTGATAAAATCTCTCAGCCTATATGTCTAAGCCTTCTAGAGGGTACAAAGGAAGGGGCTTTCTAGAGGATGCATTTCACAGGATGTAACATTGTCCAAGTGCTTACCTTACTGACTTTGGCAGGTGGAGGCTGAGGAGCTGGTTGGGCAGTAGCTGGGGCTGATTGGGCTGAAGGCTGGGAAGGATGTTGGGGTGGTGGCTGAGGCTGGGGCTGGATGCCATGGGTAGGGATCTGATGAACCTGGCCAGGAGTTGTCACGTTCACCATGTCATTGGTCTGCACCTCAATTTTGTAACCAGGTGGCAAGAAGGTGTTGAAGCCCATGATCAGGTCAGGGTGGCCTTTGAATAGCTGGGACACACGACTGATCACTCCTGGAGTGTCAATGCTAATTAAAAAAAAAAAAAAAAAGAAAGAAAAAGAAAAAGAAAAATGAGTGGCAGGCTTGACAAACACCCTAGGAAGAAAATAACTTTTCACTAAGTCATCTCTAAACAGGAAAACAGATGAACTGAAATCCCAGTTATTTAGCTTTAGACTCAAAGGCGCTTGATCGCAATTTTGAACAAAAGCGCACTTATAGTAACAATTCTATCAAACAGGTATTTACAGACGAGCTACAATTCCCAATCTGCAAAGCCCAATCTTTCACATACCAACATAAAATTGCAAGGCATGTCAGACAAGCATGGTAATGCACACCTGTAATCTTGGAACTTGGGAAGCTAAGGCAGGCAAGACTGCTGTGAATTAAAGGCTGAGCTGAGCTGAGCTGAGCTGAGTTGGGCTATCCACTGAGTTCAAAGCTAGTCTGAAATACAGTGAGATCCCATCTCAAAAAATAAAGTTAAATCACGGGTCATATCTAGAATGTTCAGATGACTTATTCTCTAGGAATAGTAAAACCATACCAGAATATCAGGGCATCTTAAATTAACTAATAAATCAAGTAGCCTAAATCATTAAAAAAATGTTACTACCCTGATTGAGATGAAGCACTATGGAAAATTTATCAACAGGGAAAAAAATTAGTGGCATAATTTCCACCAATAGGCCAACATATAAATACATAAAGTAAAGGCGAGATTCTGAAAATTCAGCCTCCAAAAAGGCAACAGCTAAGGTAGGACTAAACTATATTCTCCCTCTAAAATCAACATCCCAAGCACAAACTTAAGTGCAACACACGTGTCTTTTACCTTTGAGATTTAAATTCCTTCATTATGTCAAGGAAATCATTGTAGACCTGAGGCTGACTGCCAAACTGTAGCTTCACCTGGTCAAGATAGGACAACGCATCCTCCACCTGAGGCAGGCACAAATCTCAAAGTTATAAAAAGATTATAAGTCAAAAACAATTTTAAAAAACAAGTGATTTAGGCTAAATTAACTCAAAACAGTAAATAAAATATAAATATGCACAGAAAGAATTAAAATGTACACATATGCTACTAATAAAATTCAATCTTAAAATATAAAACTTATATTTTAACTTATAGTTATTATAAATGATTTAACATATTTTTAGCTTTGCTTTGGATAATTCTGGAAGGATCAGTGACTGCTAATTCCATTAATACATTATCTATTTATTCATTTTGTTAGGATTCACTAAGGTGCAAAACAGCAGGCTCAATGTATTCATTAAGTACTCAATGACAAATATACTATGGCCCCATTCCAGGAAGCTTGTTCATGGAAATCACAAAATAGGAAATCATAGAATGCCCAAAGAGCACAGGGAAACAACAATGCTCTCTTTCCAAACAGTAAAAACATTCAGGCTATAATGGATAAACTGAGGCCTGAGTATCAGTCAAAGCAGGCAAAAATGAAGACCAGCAGTAAGTCAAGAAAGGCAGCTCAAGAAAAATCCCAGGCCAGATACCCTGTAGTACAAGTTGGAAACAGTTTTGTTTGGCTACACCCTAAATCCTGATTAAAAGAATAATAAGAGATGAAATAGAAGCAGGACTTTCTTCTTCCTTCCTTCACCATCCTGAAAGGACTTGTAAATATTTTTCAGAAGAGTTTAAATCTGTATCATCCGCATATTTGGCCAGTGTTGAGGGAAAAAAAAATGGTGGGAAAGCACAACAGACTGAAGAGAGGTAGAAGACCAGTAGCAGCACAGGGATACCTGGATAACCTTGTGAGAGCGGTGGCTGGAATTAAGAGTACAGGCCAAATAACAAAGCAGCACACGGATTCAGAAGCTGTCTAGAGTGACAGGATCTGCAGACTGGTAAGACATTAGGGACAACACAGAACATTCAAAAGTAACCCACAATGAAGAGGAAGAGTTTGAAGGGCTATAAAGTTATGAGGTAGATTTAGGATAACTTAATTTTTAGTTATTTAGCACATTATCTAAGGGAAATATTCAGTAGATATTTCCTATGTTCGTTGGGATATTTTGAATTATTCAATATATCAGATTTAGGAAAGTTCCCGAAATACTTGGTTTGACATAAACCAACTTTTTTAAAAGCCATATTATGAAAGAGAATATTTTGTTTAAATACACCATTAAGCGGTGCAATAGTGTGAATGTGTCCCCAAACTCACAAGCTGAAACTTAAATCACCAAAGTGAAGTGGGATCTTTAGGAGGTTGAGTCACAAAAGCAGAGCCATTCTGCATGGGGGAAGCAACTAAACAGAAGGGCTGGAAGGAACCAGTGCTGGACCCCTTTGCCTTCTAAGTGTCTGACAGAAGACAGTGCAGTAAGTCACCACCTTAGAAGCAAAGACTGGGCCTACATTAGACACTGAACCTCCTGCACCTTGACCTGGGATTTTCTACCATCTCTCTCAGATATCTTATGAAGAATTACTCAGTCTCAATTATCTTGTTAAAGCAGCACTAATGGATTGAGATAAATGGCTGCAAGAGCTATCTAAGCTAGGTGCAGTAGTCATCCTGTAGTTGCTACTACTTGATTTTTTCTTTTTCTTTTTTGGTACCAGGAATTGAACTCACGACACCTCATATTTGCCAGGCAGGTGCTATGCCGCTAATCTAGTCCCATCCCTACTACTTCAAAGGCTATGGCGGCAAAACCTCAGGTACCACATCTCCATGGGATGTGGTTAGTCAGTGTTTCACAGCAGACTGTATACTCGGTCAGTTCCTATGTATTTTGCTACATTACATTTATAAATGACATTGGCAATTTATGTTGACAGTCAGTAGACTACTTAGTTTGTATTAGAAACTTTTCATACTGAAATGCTTCATTAATGGCCCCAAAACTGAAAGTCAATATATAGTAGGGAAAAAAACCTTCAGAAGATAGAACAGTATTTACTACATGATTAAAAAAAATGTTACAAAAAGGAAAAAAAAGATAACATACCCTAATGACTACATAAGAGAACAAGCTCAGGAACTCAAGGAAAGAAGTTGTGTGTGATATGTGTACATCTACAATACAAAGACATTTCAGGTCACAGTGAGTCATAGTTTAAAAACTAGTAAAATAACACGTGCTTAAAAAAACAAACAAAAACAAAACAAAACAAAACAATCAAAACAGAAAACCAGCATGACACCTATACATAAGAATAGTGAGGAAATTACATAATTATATAAAATACAGGTCAACTCTAGATGAAAGCATGTACACAGTTCCAGGAACCACAATTCATGTTTAGAAGCTATAGATCTAAGGGGTAACTTGGGGAGACTGCTGGTGAATTTGCCTGACTCACTTCAACAGGTATTTATTATAAAGGTATATAATATCCCTTCTCAAGTCTGTGGTTTTGCTGGAGACATAGTAAAGGAACCTGCTAAGTAGGGGCCAAATATCTGTGCTGCTGGCAATTTAACAAATGATCACAACAAACATTATTCAAAACCCTCTTTGTTACTTGTCCACAAATGTCCACCAATGATGAAAAAGTATAAACAATGTTGATTCTTAAAATAACCTAAGCATTCTCATTGAACACTATCATATGATATAAACAGTTTAGTGAAGTTGATCAAAATGCTTGTGTTTAAAGTGTTTAAAGACTGATCCAACAACGACAGGCCATGTGGAATCCTAAGTTAAATCACATCAAGATAAGAGAGTATTGCCCCTTTTCCTCATCAGAACTTTCCCCAACAAGTTATTGTACTTAGAATACAGTGAAGGGCTTGTAACTAAAAAACAGAACAAAAAATACCAACTCTACCCTCAACTTACTCATGACCCAAATCCAAAGCCCTCCTTCCCTGGTTTCTAGAAAACAAAACACAATCCATAAACCATACCCTCGATTCCAAGGCGGTACCCGAATGAAACAGACTGCCTTCACAGAGCTCATGGAGAAAGACCACAGGAATAATCATATTTTCGTTAGCTTAATAGCAAACTTACAGGCTTCATTTTGGAAAAAATGGCCAGGCAGGGTGGCACACACCTGTAGTCCAGCCTGGGCTACATAGTGAGTTCAAGGTTAACATGAACTAGATAGTGAGATCTTGTCTTTAAAAACAAAATACAAAATGAAGGCATTAACTGAAAAATACTGGAATGAATTGCACTGTTTTAAAAACCAATTTTCAATCTCAGTGAAATGCACAGTTCACTGTGGTATTATATTCTGTGACACAGCCCTCACTCTACAGGCAGAGTGGAAAACCTTTCTAATGAAAACACAAAGTTTTCCCAAAAGATCCAAAAATGCATTCTCTTTACAGTCTATTCTTTAGTCAGTTCTTGATTACTTAAGCCCACATAGATGAAAAACTAGATTTCTTCTATATAGCTTTGTCCTGGTAAGCCTCATGATATGAATGTAGCATTTTATGCCCTTAGGCTAATATTCAATAAAATTTCTGAGGACGACAATCATGGAAAAAACTCTGTAGTACAAGACATTCCACCTATCCTCAGTGGTTAGGTGTCAGTCACTCAGCGGATGCCTGAACCTCAGGTAGTGCTGAATTCTAGATACTTTTTATTTTCACCTTATCACATAAAGGAAGCTCTTTACAGCTTCTCTTTAGCATATCTGAACTGCCATCATCAATTATTCTTGTACCTTGGGGCCATGATAAGTAAAATGAGGACTATCTGAATGCAAAAACTGTAATACTGTGAGAGTCCATCTGATGATCTGATAGCCAACAGGGCTATGACATGACCAACGGACAGGGAGTATACAGTGCAGATATACTGGACAGATGGATGACTTACATCCCATAGACAGAAGGGCAGTGTAAAATTTTGTAACACTACTTAGAATTGCATGGGTTTTAAAACTTAAGTGTTTATTTCTAGAACTTTCCATTTAATATTTCTGGACAACAGTTGACTATAGGGAACTCAAACAGCAAACACCTGAACTACACAAAGTAACCATGGATTAAAAGGATGATTGTATCAAGGGAACCAGAAGGTGGAAAGGTTTGCAACACAGAGATGTGCCCTCAAAGGGATACTGTTCATTCCTACCTGTGACTTGATATAATTAGGCTATTATGATCAAGCAAAGGCATACTTTCTTAACTCTTTATACTTTTAATTAATATTTTCTTTACTTGATTTAGAAAAAATTGAAACCTAGAACACTTGCTGCACCAATCACACATTTTGAAAAGTTACACTGAAGAGATTAAATTATTGACAGATACAAGTTCCAATCCTTCAGAGTGCCTCATGCACTTCAAAGCACTAAAGCCTACAGGATGTATTCAGCTTCATGATTACAGTGCCCACCAACTTCATCCAAAAGCAGCACAAACTTTACTGAGGAAGGGTTTGAAGATGCCACCAACTTAAGTCATTCATAAAGAGAAATTAAAAGATGAAACTGGAAGACATAATACTGGCTTGATTAAAGGACTGTAGCCAATAATGAGTGTGCTCAATAAAGTCTTTTATGATACTAAGAGCAGTAAGTTTGAAAAGAAGTACCCAAAAACTATACTTTAAAGTTTATGTTGCACCAGGCATAGTGGTGCATGCTTTTAATCCTACCACCTGGGAGGTAGAGGCAGAAAGATCATCACAAATTTGAGGCCAGCCTGGGATACATAGTGAGTTCAAGCACAGCCTAAACTACATAGTGAGATCTTGCCTTAAAAAAAAAAAAAAAAGTTTATGTAGTGTGAAAACAGCCCTTCAACCGTAATAAGCCAAGTATCATGCATTTATAGTCCATATACATTTCTTAAGTGTATTCTTTTCTTCATTAGGCACTAGTACCATAATGAGAGGCCAAAATGAGAGAGCAGGTTTCAAAATAAAAACAAAGTGAAACTTCTTAGTACTCAACACCTTGTCTCTTGTGCTACATTGTAATAGGCTATGTTGTAATAGGCTGTATTCATTATTTTCTAAAGATAAACCTTTGACCCAAGAAAAGAGCTGAATCCCACCTTGAGCCTCTGAAACTGCTGCTGCCCCTGCACTGGTGCGACTGGTGGTGCTGGATGGGCATGGCTCTGGACTACCTGGCTTCCATGGGGCTGCACAGCTGTTGGGTGATGGTGGCTGCTATGAACTGCTGCTATGGTGGGCCCATGGCTGCCAGAGCTCTGTGGTACAGCTGAAACCTGAGGTGGATAAAACACAAAAGAAATTTCTGTGCATTCTTCTCTAAATCCATTAAAAGAAATAACCCAAACCCACAAAGCATGCCTACATATCTCTGTGTGCACAGTTAATTAATGAGAAACCTAAATTTCCCTGAAAGGAAATTGGTGAAATAAATTACAGCCACCTGTAAGAGAATCTTTATAGGTATTAAAAAATTATATAGCTTAATACTTCTTAAACTGTCTTCAGTAAAGGTCTAGTTTTTCTTAAATTCCAATCTGTCATGAACCATTACTTTTATAAAATACCATACAAATAAATTAATGAAAAAGGACAATAAAAATACGTAAGCTCATAATTTTCATTATTATATTCTATAGATATAAATTATGATGTCCTCTTGCTATGTTACTTTTGTACTTATTAGAAGCTAATAACAACATGTACAGGTCACCTAATAAGAATTGGACTTTTGAGTAGCCCTGATAAAGATGTATTTTTATATTAAAAATATTGTAAGCCTAGATAAAAAATATATAGCAGAGTATTACCATTTAATTTATGAAGATGGAATTGGAAAAGGTTTTTTTTAAAAATTCATTGTGCTCATTTTGCTTATCTTTATACTCATTAAAGTATTAGTCATATGCTGCACAATGACATTACTGCCAACAATGGATCGCATATGTGGTGTCCCATAGGATTCTTTTTTTTTTTTTTTATCCTGTAAGATTCTAATGGAACTCCAAACTCCTACTATGCATGACATTGGATCAGGCATTTGCAACATAGCTCCCATGTCTGTGGTGACATGGGTATAAACACAAAAAACACACTTATTGCACTGCTGCCAACTGCATCAAAGTACAGCATGAGTATGCACAGCTCATAACACCTGATAATGATGAGTGATATGGCTGGTTTATATATTTGTTGAACTTCATCACTACTTTCAAATGCACTCCTACTTATTAATAAAAGTGCACTGCAGAAAAAAGTATGATGCGTTCTGCTACCAGCAGCCTCGCGTCCTATCGTGTCTCCTGACTGGCAGGGACATGTTCCTAGGCTTGCGTATGAAGTCTGTGAGGTTTGCAAAATGACAAAAATCAGCTAACAACTCACTTCTAATTAGGTGCTCCTATTGGTAAGTGAAAAATATTTAATTAAGTTGTTGGTAGTTTGGCCTCAAATATATTTTTCTATTCTGTTTCTCTCAATCTATTGTTTTCTTACAAATTCAGAAGTGAAATACAAGCAGAAGTCCCTTCCATTTCTATTATCAAAAAATACCAATTTATGACTTATGGAGCATTTTAATTTTCTTATTTCAAAACTCTTCATCACAGGGCCAGAGATCTAGCTCAGGAGCATAAGTGCGTGCCTGTCAAGCCCAAGGTCATGAGTTCAATCCCTGGTACCAAAAAAAACACCACAAAACTCTTAATCATTAAAGATAATTAATATTGATATATGATTGCTTCATCCCCAAAATAAGGAGAATAAACAAAATGAAACTTAAGTTTCTTTAAGCAATATAGTGTGGACACAACGTAAGAGAGAATAAGCCTTTTTTTCAACCCCACACAAGTCTATTAAAAAAATTGCCCTGGGGTAGGGCAGGCAACTATTTATAAATCTACAATAATAATATAAAACACACCAAGAGTAAAAAGAAACTACTTAAATGATCTGACAAGTTCTAACAGAGGAAAGGCTATTAATTTGAGTTTTTATAGTCCAGCATACATGCTTTTTAAAAGTTTTACAAAATTATAGGTTTTTATAAGACAGCTATAGTTTATAAATGTTTGGGACTGCTGGTTTTATATAAGCACATTACAATTTCCATGTAAGAATACACGTGACAACCCCTAGTACACGAAACAGTCACAAACCTGCTCAAATAATAAAAATAACCACCCAGGGAAAACAAGCAAGATTTTTTTCTCCTAAATCCCAACTGAAAGATTCAATCTATTGCTGGATATGTCTCACACCTGAAGTCCCAGCACTCTGAGAGACTAAACAAAAGGATGGAAAAGTTCAAAACCAATCTGGGCAATTAGCAAATTAAGGGAGACTCTTTTTTTTTTTTTGGTACCAGGGATCAAACTCATGACCTCTCACTTGCTAGGCAGGCTCTTGTGCCACTGAACTAAACCCCAAACACCAAGATTGTCTTAATAGTAAAAAAATAAGGCCAGCGATATAGCTCAATATGAAGACTTAAATTCAATCCCCAGCTTAAAAAAAAATTATTCTGTTTTCTGACTGCTGTCCTAGTCCTACACTGCAAATATTCTACCACTTCAAAAGAACCCTGAGGAACACCTAAGGACTCAGCTTTTCCTCCTCAACCTCCCTATGATGAGTATTATCACTATGTATATTTACAATGTATTAATAAAATAAAATAAATTTAAAAAATAAAAATAAATTCCTACTAATAAACTTCTAGGTCAAAAAGTAAGCTGTCTGACACATGGCTAGGGTGGCAAGTCAGTGGCAGAGCTCAGGGAAGAGCCTGAGCTGCAGTCTACTGTGCAGCTAGCGTGTTTATTATCCAGTATATAAGGTCCTGGGTTCCATCCGCAGTACCACATGCACACGCACACGCGCACACACGCACACACACACACACACACACACACACACACACACACACACACACGGGAATCATAGACAGTGGCTCCCTCTGTGAGTAGGGAAAAGGATCAGAATTAAGATACACAAACTTCAAAGGCCATGACATTTTTAACAAATGTAATGTTGAGTATAGAAGTGTTTACTATTTTTGCTATTTCATACACCTTAATCATTCTATTTCAAATCAAACTTAGTGAAAAGTGTTTTAACTGACAGTTACTGATCCTCCTTTACTCCCAGTCCTGGGCTGGCCCAGCTCACCTGGTAGCTGGGTGTCACTGAGTACTGAATGCCAGTGGCTGACTGCATGGTCTCAGACACTGCTTCATACACAGGAGGCGCAGGGGCAAGCACACGGTGCTGGTGAGGAAAAGCCTCTGTGCCACTAGGGATCCTCCGCTGCTGGGCTGCATACACTGGTGACTCCTGGTCCTCCAGACGCCGCTTCATTCTGCGTTCATGCTCAGGGATGCACTACAAAGCCTGCAGAGAGCAAGCACAATGACATGAAAGTCAACTTATCTCAAAATTTTTGACAATTGAGGTCTAATTTTTAAAATATCAATTGTTTCACAATTGAATGCTATCACAGAAAGAACATGGGCCAGGAATAATATGATAAAAGTTCTAGACTTATCAATTTAAGATGCCATGTAATTTCAACCAATGTGTTGTTTCTTGTGATTTTAAGTTTTGTAACTAGAAAAAAAGTTAGAATAACTCACTTTATGTCACTGATGGCAAATCTATAGCATATGTGCTTCAGTGAACACACACAGCCTTCTCTGTCAGCCCTTGAGCTAATGTATGAGTTAATTTTTCTAAACTAAAACCTCAGTTATTCAAGTTTAATTGCAGTGTTAACATTTAGCAACAAGTAAGTGAGCTCTGGGTTGCAATTTGGGCATTCAGTTCCTAAAAGGTTCACCATCACTGCTCTAGGTTTCTTCTGACTCTAACAATGTATAACAGAAGAGAAGGTTTTAGCTGAAATTTTTTTTTTTTTTTTTTTTTTTTTTTGTGCCAAGGATTGAACTTGCAACTTTACACTTGCCAGGCAGGCACTTTCCCCTCTGAATTAAATCCCTGGTGGCTTAATATTTTTGTAGAGTACATTTTATATCTAACAGGACACAAATAGTACTTTTTTTTTGGTACCAGGGATCAAACTCACAACTTGGTGCTTACCAGGCAGGTGCTTACATCACTGGGCTAAATCCCTAGGCTCATACATTGTTTCGTTTCATTCATTGATTAATTCATTTATACTGGGGCTCAAACTCATGACCTTGAGCTTACCAAGCAAGCACTTGATCTGCTGAGCATTAAATCTCTGGCTCTCACCAATAGCACTTTACTCAATCATCCACTTGGATCTTTTCAGAGTTTTTCAACATCAGAATGCACCACAGTTAGAAAAGCTAGGTGTGGTGGTCTTATTTGTAATCCAAGGTCTCTAGAGGCTGAGGCAGGATTGCTGTAAATTTGAGGCTGTCTTTGGCTACATAGTGAATTCAAGGACAGCCTGAACTACTATGTAGCAAGACCCTCTCTCAAAGAAAAAATTCAGTGTCAGACAGACAGACAGAGAGAGAGAACAAGAACATGAAAGCAGGGCCTGGCATCACATTCCTCTAATCCCAGCTATTTGGGAGACTGAGATAAGTGGATCCTAAGCCCAAGGACTGAGGAGTCTAGCAAAATAAAAAGGGCTTGGGGACATAGTTCAGTGGCAGAGTGCTTATGAAGAGAGAAGAAAGAAAACAACATAAAAAAGAAGGAAAAGAGGAAAAAAGAACACGGCAGGCAATTAAGCTTTCAGGAACCATCCCAAGACAACCTGAGGCAATGCCTTACCACTTTGCCATTTATAGAAACTCTTCAGCAAGACATCCCTACTGTATTAAGAACATGCAAAATGCAGGAATAGTGGGAGATTTAGTAATCTCTCACAAATATGTATGCTCTCTCTCTCTTCTTTTTTTGAGGCAGGATTTTACTATGGATTTCAGCCAGGCCTTGAACTTTCTCTGCAGCCTAGGCTAGCCCGAACTCATGGCAATCCTCCTGCCTCAGGCTCCCAAGTGCTGGGATTTACAGGCGTGAGCCACCATACCTGGCATAAAACTTGTTTTGTAAATGGGGAAAACAGCTTTTACTTAAGTTTCTAGGTCCAATCCTTACCCTCCCACCCCTATTCCAGGAGCACACATCCCTGGAGGGGCAATGGACCAAGACAGGCCTCGCGCTTTACCTGCTCTGTCTCACCATCTTGGCAACCCGCTTACTACTTCAATCTTCACCTCTGAAATAGTATTTGTCTCTCTCCCTCTTTTTGTCTTTTTGAAACACGGTTTCATTATGCAGTTCAGGCTGGCCTTGAGCTCACTTTGTAGTCTAGGCTGGCTTCAAACTCACAGTAATCTTACTGCCTCAGCCTCCCAAGTTCTGGGTAAAATAGCATCTCAGGTTCTTATACTTCACAAACTGAAGTCAGACCCCAACACAGTAGTGCAATTCTTTTGTAGTAAGCAAGCCATTTTTAATATTATCTTTTTATGAAACTCAAGCTGCAAATATGCTGTGGCCTGTAACTTTAGAACAAAGGACTAAGTCGCCCAAGGTTGTGTGTGATAATATGCTAAACTCAGTTAACTGGAATTGAACACAGCCTGCTGACTGATGATGAGTATAAATAATTTAAAATATCTTAACTGGTTCTTTTCCTAGTATGAAGTACCACATTAGCTTGATAATTCAAAAACTTTCAAACTTTTTTTTTTAAGTTTTGGTACCAGACATAAACTCATGACCTTGTGCTTAACCACGCAAGCACCTAAGGCACTGAGCTAAATCCCTGGCCCTTCAAACATTTTATTTTTATCTTTTGGTATGGAAGACTGAACTCACGACCTTGTACTTGCCAGGCAGGCACTTATAACACTGAGCCAAATCCCCAGCCCCTCTTCAAACATTTTAAAGGCTGGAAATACAGATTTACACAAACTACATGATACATGAAAAGCCACTGTGATACCTGAAAAGTCATCTATGAACACTAAACCTCAACTCATTTTGAAACAAGGTACTGGGTCTCATAAGTGGATGGAGTAATTCCATTTTCTAGTTGCCTCCCAAGTCAATGGTTTCACTCTGTTCATGTGCTCCCTCCCAAGACGGCTGCCAGAGGTCTGCAGCTTCTCTCTCCTCATGAATCCTTCATGCTGCTTTTGAGATGCCTTGCCTCAAACATAAACCTGGACCCAGCTGTAAATCCACGCCTGGCTTCCTATCACTTACAGACACAACTCCTAACTCTTTATTTAGTTCAGCCTACAAAATCCCTGCTTTATAATCCAGTGCAGTGTCTTGTCCCTTGTTGTTCTAGCTATTCACAAGGCACAGGTGGGTGGATACTTTTGCCTAAGGGCTCATGACCAGCCTGGGGAATATATCCAAGATTCTGTCTCAAAAACTTCCTGAGGCACAGGCACCTGCCTGGCAAGCGAGAGGACGTGAGTTTGATTCTGGGTACCAAAAAACAAAAACAACACAACACTTCCTGAACCATGCCTCAAATCCATAAGTTTCTTCAAAGTAGGGTTCTTTTCAACTTTATTTGCATTCCCTGCCGATTTAACTATACTCAGATATGGTCACCCCTTGGCAGCCACAAGGGACTGATTGTGGATGCTCAAATTCCTTATATAAAATGGTATATCCAGGAGTGGTGGCACACGTCTGTATTTCTAGCACTCTGAGAGACTGAGGCAAAAATCACAAGTTTGAGCCCAACCTGGACAGTTTAGTGACTTGGAGAGACCCTGCTGCAAAATATAAAAAATTAAAAAGGCCTAGGAATGTAGTTCAGTCCAAAGGCCCTGGGTTCAATCCTCTGGCCCACAAAAATCAAATCAATAGGTGCTGGGAATTTAGCTCAATGGCCAAAGCACCTGCCTGGCAAGCCTGAGGTTGTGAGTTCAATCCCTGGTACCACCACCACCACCACCAACAACAACAACAAAAGAGTAAGTAAAATGGTATATTATATTTACCTATAGCTTTTGCAGATCATCTCACATACTTTAATCTGTAAATTATTTATAAAACTCAGTATAATGTAAATACTATGTGAATAGTTGGTATTCTATACTATTTAGGCAAAAATGACAATGAAACATGTCTGAGCCAGGTATGGTGCTACAGGACAGCAACCCCAGCTACTCATTAGGCTGATAAATTTGGGGCCAGCCTAGGCAAAACCTAGTGAGGATCTACAAAATCTAAAGTGAAAATAATATAAAGGATTGGGCATATAGCTCATTACCACTGTACGTTCAATCTAGTACTCCTGCAACAAGCCTATACATATTCACCACAGAGCTCCCCGCCCAAAATTTCTTTCTTTCTTTTTTTTTTTTGAGACGGGGTCTCGCTATGCAGTTCAGGCTGGCCTTGAGCTCACTTTGTAGCCCAGGCTGATCCTGAACTCGAAACGATCCTCCTACCTCAGCCTCCTGAGTGCTGGGATTACAGGCGTGAGCCACCACGCCCGGCAATATTTCTTATGTTGGCTGACTGTGCTGAATTCTCAAATAACAGCAATAGTTTACATATAATCAGTGTTCTCCATTCTATACAATTTACAAGTATTAATTAACCCAACAACCCTACAAGCAAAGTAGCTGCTATTTTCTATATAAATAAGGAACCCAAAACACAAAGATTAAATAAACTGCCCAAAGTTGTACAACTATTACGAGGCAAAGCTGAGACATAAACCCACAAAATCTGCCTTCAAAGCCTGGACCCTTAATCATACCATGGTTCCATGTCTCCTAGAACTGAAGCCTCTGTTTACTTATTTCAAGCACACGTGCCTCAGACAACTTCTGCTTTCTTTAACATCACACACTTAGCTAAACCATGCTTTCTGCAGTCTCAACCTAGTAGAAGCAAGAATAATCTGGTAGCATTCATTCATTCAATTAGCACAAAATGAACAGATATAAACATTAAAGAATACTGTCTCTTGCCTTCTGAAATCTTAAACCTTGCAGGGAAGCGATATACTGTACAGCCTCAATAGTAATAAAAGAAATATAAGTAAATGATATTTACCCCAAGACAACTGGCAAAAATTTTTAAATGATGATAGCTAGTGTAGGTGAAGAGTACAGAGAAATGGTGAAAGTTTTGAGGGATGTAGTCTATTTGGTAATTTATGGGCATCTACGCACTTAAAATGTGCATATCCCTTAATCTAGCAATTCTACCTCTAGATCTGTATGTCCTACACATTTACCAAATATATCTTTTTTGTTTGTTGACTGGTTGGATTTTTGAGACAGGGTGTCACTTAGTAGACTGGGCTGATGTTGAATACACAGTGATCCTCCTGTCTCAGCCTCTTGAGTGCTGAGATTACAGGTGTGCACCACCAAACTTGGCTGACAAGTGTATCTTGCAGAAAAAATCAGATG